AAAATGAAAAAAAAAAATTTGTCCCGACGATCTATCTTCTATACGCAAATGGCTACCATATTGAAAAATATACTATTTTTGTATGATAATTATGGGTTTTGTATTTTATTTTAATAGAAGTTGATGTTGCTTTTGCAATTATCCATCAATTTTTTAAAAATAAACACTATCTACAGATTTGCATCGAAGCGTTTCTTATGATAGTGATTTTAATCACTGTCAGATTAAATCTATACTGGACCATACTATGCAATGTCTCCACTATGCCGCGACCCCACTGTGCTACCGTTTTTATTATTTGCTTACAATGTCAATACAGGGTGTTCAGTAAGTCAGGAAACGGGTTTCCTGACTTTCCCGTTTCCTGACTTACTGAACACCCTGTATATTATCAGTATAACACACCCTATATTTCTCCCTTGGCTGTCACTCATTGGTTAGAAAAATTTATAACTCAAAAATTACCAATAAATAGTCCAATGAGGTATTTAAAATATCTCATTATTATATATATATATATATCATATTTTATGTTGTATAAAATACATATTTTATACAATTGAGGAATTTCCCTTAAAAGTTAATGATTAATAGACACATATTTGAAATTTTAAGAGGGACTAAAAAAATGTATTTGTATAACCTATTTTTTATTTGTAGGTCCATTTAAATAAATAAAGGTTAAGATGGAATTCACATACCTAAAAAACGAGTTTAGTGTATACTTCAAGAGGTCAAAGACCTCTCTGGCATTTTGTTAGTCCTCCTAATAAATATATGAACAGAAAAATAATAAACCTTCTTTAGATTCTTTATTTTATGTATAATACATAGTTTATATTAAAGCTACTCTTAAAAATTGATTCTCTAAAAATTTTCTCTTTTAAAAATTATTTTTTTTTCTACTTAACATTTTTATATTACACAATATTCAAAAATAAAAAAAATATTTCAAAAATCGAAATATATCTATATAAAAAGGTAAATTAAATCTGAAAAAAAATTTTTTTTTCTAAAATATTTCCAAATTTATATATGCTTGAAATCAAATAACATAGATATTTCTTTTAAATATTTAACTTGAAAAATACTAAAAAAGCGTGTAAATGTATTTCAGGATACGATATACACAGATACGACTATTATCTTAAAATTGTGTTTACTTAATATATATATCAGTGTGGTCTCATTTAAAGTGTACGCTAATTGTTGTTCAACATGAGCAGTATTTATAATATTATCATAATTTCAATAGCATATAAAATATTGTAAAACTTTAAGACTTTATATTGGAGATTTACAATGTCTACAAATTTTTATAAAATCAGGATTTTTCACCAACTCTATTGTATATACGTCTAGACGTACCAAAAAGTTTAAACTAAAAAAAATAATGTTTTTATTATATGCCAATACTTACAGGTAACGTTTCACAGACGATTTAATGAATTTCCTTTAAATTACAAATTCTATTTTTCATTAGCGTATTCAATTTAATTTTTATTCACGATGCATAGGGTCTAATTTTTTAAATAGGTGACCATTAATCAAAATTTTTACTTGAATAAATTTAAAATATTTTTTTCCACAACATTTATTATATCTAAAAGTATTTGAAAATAACTTTTTTTTTTTTTAATTCATATATTTCCGTAGTTAAAGTTTAATTTAAGTTAATGCTTATAAATAAAATGCACTAATATCTAAATCTTAATGTAAAAATAAACAAAACACGATTACAACAGGTCCGAGAACTTTGCTACTTTAGAAGAAGAATAGCATTGGCAAAACAAGCATTCCAAAACAAGTATCAGCTTCTCACCAATAAATATCTGAGCATTGGCATACGTAAAAGATTCGTTAAAACATTTGTCTGGAGTGTGCTTTCATATGGCAGTGAAACATGGACAATTGAAAAAAAAGAAAAAAGCAAACCAGAAGCATTAGAATTGTGGATATGGAGTAAAATGACAAAGACAAAATGGATAGACAAGACAAAAATGAGCAAGTTCTAGAAGAAAAGCTTGGCCTTAAATAGATGATGATGTTGATACATGAAAATTTATCATATCCAAAATATGTATTTTGTATTTTTTTTATAATGGTACAATTTTAATATATTTATTCGCTAAACTTCACTCCGAAATTTATACCACATTAAAGTATCAGTTGTATATTTTGGCGTTGAGATTAGCTGCCCATGTTTCTCAATTACAGTGTAATGCGTAATTGAATTTTAAAAACGCTGTATTGGAATCATATTCCATTTTTATAAATCATTTTTTTATACTATATAACTTTGTTTGCTTAAAAATTTTGTGCCATGACGTAATAGCGAGTTGGATGTGGGTGTCAGATTTGGAGTGTTAGGGCCCCTAAGCAGTTACCAAATCAGCGACATTTTTCAGTGGCATATTTAATAATTTAATATGAGAAAGTCCGTATAATTTTCTATTCAACATTCTAAAAAATTATACGAGAGCATCACCCAACTACACTCCCTAACTACTTGCCTTGTCTGCCTAGGACGAAATATAGCACTGTATACATTGTGAAGGCACTTTTTTTTGTTTCTAAGATGTATTGACAATTTTTCTTTTGTAAATCTCTATGTAAATATGTTTGCTATAAATTGCTACAATTAAGTTTAATATCAATTTTCAAACAGTAACTTCAATACGATGGTAAAAATTCTAGACATTTTAAATATATACTGTGCATTTTATTTCACTACTAACAGGTCACAAAATCTAACGATAAATTTGTCATTGAACATTAAACAGTTAAAATATGCTTTATATCATAAATACTTAATACTACTTTTTTTAAAAATTGATTAAATTTAAAAAAAAATCCCTCGACCCCCCTAAAATGGGTTCAAATTTATATCAATTTCAAATTTAGTAATTAAATATATATCAACATAATTGATAATATTATCGGATGTAATTTAAATTATATAAATTTTGGCCACCTTTTTTCGAATTTGGACCACTGTACGATCAAAGGATTATTTATGAATAGAAATAAATATTACACATAAATTAAATAAATGTTTATAAATTCATCTTTGAATTACTTTGCTAAATATTTTATTTTTATATCCAAAAATTAAAATTATTCTTACTTAATTTAGTTATATCTTTCCAAGACGTTGAATTTTAATATATTATTTTATCTTAAACAATTGTCGAAATCTAAAAATACTTTTTTTATTAAATTGTATATACGTTTAGTATTTCATTTGATGTATACCGTATTACTAATAAATAATGTTATATAAATTTAGAATAGTATTTTATTTAGTAAAATCTACAAAATAACATTCGTATTAACTAAATAAACTATTGACTATCAAATGTAATAACTCAAACAGGCTTCACAACGATCTTTCAAAGAATATTTTTCATTATTGTCCAATTAAAAAACTCTTTTTGACCATTAAATTTGATAAGCTTATGATCGCTAATATTATGAGTTTAAACATTATCTTAAAATTATAATAACGCCCACTCAATAATAAAATTTATCTATGCTGACAGAAATACAGTTTCCTGCAGTTTTATAAAAATCTATTTAGTTTTTAATAAAAAGGCAACAATCATATACTATTTATTCTTTTGGTCGAAAGATAGACAAAAAAATAGCAATAGATAAATATTATTGACAATAGATTCCATTGATTTAAAATTATTACAAATTAGACTTATTTTGATTGCTTTGGATCAGTACTTATTTTTTAAATTCAATTTTCTTATGATAAGACCTTCTAAAATAGTTCAGTTACAGAAGATAATGTAATGTCGGAAAAATTTGAAAGATTTTACTCAACTTCTTCTGATGCCGCATTGGGATTAAAAAAATATGACAATTGAGGGAAGTTTTTTTTTTTTTTTTGAGTTTAACACTTAACGTTAAAATATATAGGAATTATAGAATTTATTATAGCCTAAAACAAAATTTTTCATATATCAATTGTACTGTGAGAAAAATAATAAAACATCAAAGTTGAAACATCGGAGTTTCTATTACGTTGGTCGAAGAAAACCGAGATTGGATTTATCATTTGACCATAAAACAACAAATTATTTTAATAGGACGCCACACAGAACGTAAAACGTATTCAACGCTCCAGAGATAGCGTTGTTTTCCGTACCTGTGACGACCACGCCTTCCGTCATTTCAAAATAACCGCCTCGCGCATTCGTCGTTCGGTGCATCGTTCATAGTTTGACTGTCTTACGTCGCGTACCGTTTAGTAACATTGATTTGCGTTTCATTAGTAACATAATGTCATTGAGAATAGATATCAGTGGTGGCTCGGACGACGATCGCATCCCCTTCTAAAATTAATTAAAAGAAGAAAATTTTTTTGTAGATTCTACATTTTTATTAAAAATGCAAATTTTTAAATAGTAAAATAGTTATTGTCGTGTGCGAACATTAAAGTTGTTTTCCTTCAATATATACGGGTACGCATGCACACACGAGCAATATGCAAAAACGTATATCATAAACGTGGTTCCAAATCGTGTGCTTGTGGGTACCGTTTAGCTGCAATCTTATGTATAGGTTTTGGACGATCCGCAGCGTCGTCCATACAGTAAAATATTCGTATTTTTAGAATTAACTACGTGTATGCTCGTCGTTATCGTTTGTTATAATAGTATAGTTGCTATTATTAGCAATTAGCTCTCACCGAACCGATTTCTCTCAACGATACGTCAAAGATCACAAATCATATCTAATCGAAGATACTACCCTCAAAAGTTGAAAAGAATTCCCCCTTTCTCCGTAAATGGAGGAAATCTCCAAAAAAATTACAAATCTAAAAATCGCTAATTTTCGACTTTTTTCAATTTATTTTCCTTAAAACTGTCATAACTTTGTTAAAAATGACTAAATCAATATAATTATTTTTTTTATAAATGCACAATAACTTTACCTATCATTTGGTATAATGATTTTATAAATGTAACTTTTTACTTGCCCACAGGGAGGATTCAGAATGACAACTTTTTCACAAAAAATTATTTTTTTCGAGCTCACTTTTGAAAGTGTTCCGAAAAGTCTGACACTTTTATATATATCTTAAATTATAACTAATGTAATATAATCACGAAAAAAAAAAATTTTGGATTTTATTTTGTCTTAATAGTGAAAACAGACATCAAGGTTAATAAAAAAAATACGATTTTTGCAAAAAAATTCTCGTGTGAAAATTCTCGATTTTATTATTTATATTATATTTAACTTTATAATGCTATAACTTATTGAAAAGTTTATGGATCCACACAATTTTTTTATGAGAAATAATATTTTTTAATAAACCATTTTTTATTCGACATACTTTATCTTAATCGAGATATTAATAAGGAACCAGCTTTTGGAATAAAACACCAATTTTTTTTAAATTAAACACTGTCTACAGATTTGCATCCAAATGTTTTTTATGATAGTGATTTTAATCACTGTCAGATATATATACTGGACCCAACTATGCCACCCCACTGTGCTAGGTTTTTTTTTCAATCATAATATCAAATTTAAAATAGGGGTTCCCATCTAAGAAAACTCAAGTTAATGTTTTTTTAAATTTTGAAGGATGAAAAATATCATGTTTTTACTACATATTATAGTAGAGTTTTTTGAATCAAACAATATTTTCCAATGGTGATCAGTTTATCATAAACCACTTGATTACTCGCAATATAAACATAATATTGAAAAAATAAAGTTTGATTTCTTTTAGTTACTTATAGTTCTCGATTTATTTTGAGATATTTATACTTAAAAAAAATGAAATAAAAAATCTTGAAGGTAGTTTTTTGAATATTTGTGCGTTATATTTTTAACTGGGTATAATTTGGAATCTTTTGATGTATTATACAAAAATATTGGTCCAATAAGAACTAATATTAAATCGTAATTCATTACCGACTGTATGCGATTTCATTAAAGACGTTGTGACTTCAAAAGCTCACCGCAAAATCGCGATAGCTTACGCGAATAATTTCTACGGTGTCCAGGTAGTGCTTTCAAATAAAAGAAAATTATCGAAATCTGAGCATGCCAAGTACCTTCACTAAAAAACACAGATTTGCCGTCACTTTATTAGATCAGTAAGGAAATTTTTATACATCTCGATATTATCGATAGACAGAATTGATGTTTGCAAAATCAAATAATGTTTTACTGTGACATATAAATAAATATTTCTATTTTTTAGAAAATTGAAAATGCCGCTATAATGGGTCATTAAGATAACGCCACGGCCACTGACGACAACTCGCTGCTTGTGGTACGATGTTTGTCCACTCGACTAAAAAGCGCAGTTTTTTACATTTATTCTTCAATTTTATGTTTAACTTATAATTGATCATATCCTGTTAGATTTCATCTTAGAGTTTTGAAATTTCGGGAAGGCGAAGAATGTAACATTTTGAAATGTTTGTAATGGGCTTTTTAAGATATCACTATTCATAATAAACTGATTAAGTTAAAAAAAAAAAAAGCTTGTATCTTTACAAAAATGTTACGGCTATTCTAGCCGTAACATTAAGATTTATATTCTATAAGCCTTAAGCCTTAAGATTTATATTCTATAAATCTTAAGAAAAAAAGCCCATTACAAACATTTCAAAATATTATTTTTTAAATATCCTCAAAATTTCAAATTTTTACGATCACTTTAGACCGTGTAATAAAGATTATACTTTTGATAGTTTTTAAGCCTAAAATTACCACGATGTGGCGTCCTCTTAAGAATGTTTATTCTTTGCTGTTTAGTTTAAATTGTTTTTTAAATAAAAATATCTTTAAATAATTGATTGCCCAGCCATTCATCTGGTTGATGATATCGACCAGGTTGTCGAAAAGTAGTTCCCCTTAGAAGAACACCACCCAAAATTATAATAATGAGTTCCAAAAAACCTTAATAATCATCTCGAGGAAGATCTTTAGTAATTTTATTTATTTTAGTAATTTTTGTATATAAAATAATTTCATCTGTTTCATCTTTTAATATATTATTAACATAAGTATCAACAACTGACATAGAAAAATTTGTTTTATCAATTTTTTTCTATTCCTATTGAAATCTTCTGAACAATACTATTTCTGGTCCGTTTAGAAAAAACATGCAAAGATAATATTTCTCATTCTGGACGTTGCTCAATCAAAACACATGCCCCATTAAACTTTCCCGTATTAGAGGCCGTAGTATCAAATGTAAAAGCTTGTACATTTTCTAATAGTGACCATTTGAGTAAAGCATCAAAGACAGTTGATGATTTTATTTTATTTTAATTATTTAACGCCAAACGGCAATTTACAGGAATAATATTATGGTAACCTAAATATATAACATAATATAATAAAAAGAAAAGAAAAAAATAATAATAATAATAATGTACATGCATATATGTAAAACATAGAGTAAGAAACTATGACAACAAAATAATGATGACAATAAATTAAGATTTATAAGATAAATATAATATATAATTAATATAAGACAGTTAAATTTTTATAAAAATAAATGTGACCAAAAAACTAAGTATTATTGAGAGAACGTAGCATTCTGTGTATTGGATTATTATTATTATAGGATGTATGATGAGAGGGAACATGAAAGGGAAAGTGATTTCTAGTGGGCTAGGATGGAACACGAAAGGATATAGAAGACAAAAGGTCTGGTGCATCAATTAGACCATTAAGGAGAGCATCGATAAATGAACGGTCTGCATCAAATCGCCTGGAACTAAGAGTAGGGATATTAAGTGTGGAACGAATAATGGAGTAATCATGAGGGGGGTGGGTAATTTTGAGTAAATAAGCGGCGTAAGATAAAAAGCGATTCTGTACTCTTTCAATACGGAGTTGATCTTTAGCTAAATAAGGATGCCACACAACTACTCCGTATTCTAAAATAGAGCGAACGAGTGAAAAATAGAGGGAACGTAAACAATGTGGAGAAGTAAAGAGGTTAGTATGTCGTTTTAAAAATCCTAAAACTTTTAAGGCTTTGCCTACTATAAAGTTAATATGAACGTCAAAAGATAGCGAAGGAGTCAGGTGGAATCCCAGGTCAGTTACTTGAATACACGCTCTAACATGGTACTTGAAACTTCTAAACCTGTTCTACGGGTATAAGATGGATTCCAAGAAGCTGTTCAATATTTAAGGCCGTTGCAATAATAGGAAGATGATCTAAATTTTGTTTCCTGTAATGGCAGAAAATATTTTTGTGTTCCAATAGATCACAATAAAATTCAAATTTTGATCATGAAATTTAAAATCAATATTTTCTGCAATTTTTTGTCGTTAACTTTTACGAAACCTTTTAATTGATAATCGGTTTAAAACTATATGCTGGGATCTAATAATAGAGGATCCAAACACGCAGTAAGTAAATGAACAGCATCCCTATCACTTACTTTATACCTATCAAGCGTGGCATATAATAAAAATATTAAAAGTACTTCTGCGTCTCTTTTAATTATTGAGGCTCTGATGAAAGATGACTTTCTTCTTCACTAATCATTTCGATATCTTAAGAAGATGAATCGGATGAAAAGCTTTAATGTTTTTCTAAATTAAATTATAAATAAGTGTTAAATATACGATAATAATATATATGTTTTAATTAATTATAGTTAATTAAATTAAAACAAAGGTGGTATATATGCCTTATAATAAAGTTCCCAAATGAGGTATAGGTTTTTTTTTTACTCGTTTTTTATTTGTTTTCTCTTTGTAAATTTTGCTAAGTTCATATCTACTCCCATTATACAACCGGGACGGCCCTTAGTTCGTCAAAATCGTAAAAAAAAAATCAATATCCACCTGAATCTTCATTAAATTGAATGCATTAACATGAGCAATATCAATTTAATTTTCCATTTAGACTACAAAAGTCTTTGTATTATTTTTCTCTAAATTTCTTAATTCTTTGCATAATTTTTAAAATTTCCTTACAATATTAGCTGGATCTATATTACAAGATCTATAATATATTACAATATTAGCGTGGGTATACGAGCTTTTTTTTAATATATTAGGCATTCGTTCACCACAAGCGCCGCGCTTGCATTCAAATTCAATTTTACAACTTTTAAATCATAATATAACACGCTAAAGCAATTTTTATAGAGGGTAATTTACTTCCAGTCATTTGATAGTTCATAGTTCCAGCTACATAAACTTCATTTCGTTTCACATTTAAACAAGTAAAATAAAAAAAGGTTTACACTTCACTATTTTTAATCAAAATTAAAAACTTGATACAATAATAAGCAGTAATAAAAGTATTGAATATTAAGCCTTTACATATTTGAAAGATAACTTTTATAGTTACGTATTACTACACAAATAAAAATAATGTCAACCATTCTTATTATCTAGGGTACTGTGTAAAAAATATCTAAAAGAAATGTCTAACTATACAACTAACTACACCCTTATAAGACAAAGGTTCTTTGTCTTGTAATCTCAATTTTCTATGTATGACAATTGAATTAAAAAAAAGGGATATTTTTCATACAAATTAGTGGGTTTATAATAGTACAGTATGTTTTAGTTATAAAGTATAAAATATTGTTTAGTTCTAAATCTCGAGATTCGAGACTCGAATCTCAACCCTAGAATATATTTGGTCTTTAAATTTCACAAAACTTTAGCGCGCTTTTATTAATAATTGAATTACTCAAAAATATATTAATATAGAAACCATCACCTATCTCCATCTATACACCAACCTTTTATGGTGAACGGGTGATTGCTTTTCTGAAGAAGGCACCTCTAACTGGTAAAAAGACAGCACAAATTTTTATCAATAATATATAATATTCCTTGTATAAACTATTACTTTTAAAGTTACAATTTTTTTTTTTACTAAGAAGTTTACTGAATGATAATAAAATAACTGGAATACTTCACTTAAGAAATTAATATTCTCAAATTAACAAAAATTTATGATTATGATTTTTTTCTTTTCCAAAACTCTTTAATTTGCTCAAAATTTAGGAATTAATGAAAAAAAATCAATTATTATTAAAATTGAAAGTCAATTTATGTCAATTAAACTAACAAAAAAATAATCATATAGTTTATTAAAATATATTAATTTAACATTCATATAAACTTTTTATATCACATATCTGCACAATAAAAAAGTAAACTATATTTGTATACATAGTGTGATATAAAAGCAAACAATTACTTATCGATATTCAAAATATATGGAAAAGCAACTGCCATCCAATTTGTATGCCAATCAGTTGAACGAAATTTATTGATCTCTGTACAAAACTGCTCCTTTTTTTCACATATTTCCTTAGGAAAACCTTTAAACCAGGTTGATATTTGTAGAGATAGTTCTTCTTCATCCGAAAATACAAGACTATTTTCATTATGCTTAACCAATTCATGTAAACTATGCAAACATAAATAACACCAATTATTGTAATAAAATTTTCTAACTTGTGATTTAAGTGGCTTGTATAGTTCGGTCAGTTACATATCATACCTCAATACAAAGGTATGGAGGTTTGATTATGTTCTGAAAAAATGTACAGTTATCTAGTTTTTTCTAACACGTTCAGCAGCTTAAATTAAAATATAGAAAAATAATAGTAAATGAAATAAAATAATTTATTCATCATTATATAACTAACTCAGGCAATGATTTAAGAAAGCTACTAAGTGACAAACACTAAAATTTTACAAAAGATAAGAAAACCATAAAAATAAACGAGTGTTTATTTATTACCTACATAATTTTTATTCTATACAGAAATTTAATTAACTTTTTACCAGATTATTAGGATATGTATTTACTAAATTTTTAACAAATAAATTAATTTTTTTATATCTTCCTTGTTATTGCCTCAATTGTAGTAATAAAACAAATAATTTTAAATAAGATACTTTGTGTTCTTAAAATCAAAAAAGAAGTTTTTAACATTAAACAATGTCAAATTAAACAAAATAATTCACAATACTTATTAAAAGGACTAATATCTTGAAAAATATATATATATATAGATAATATTAATAAATATAGGTATAATATTTACCAATTAAAATTATAAGCACACACTGGAAGACAAACTCCAAACATGTCAATCACTTTCATGGGTAGATCTAGGCCACTAGAAGAATTATGAAGGCAAACTCCCAAATCTGCACTTGCTAAATAATTTAAAACCATGTTATAATCAATTAAAAGCCTGAATTTTTTTCAAATAATTTATTTTTAAAGTTAAAACTTCCTAAAATTTAAAATCAATTTTCACAAAATGGCTTTTATATTTTTGAATATTTTCCCATCATATTGACAAAAACATCTTAGAAATATTTACATACATATAGATTCCTATGGTAATCCATGTTTCAATTATGACACTAACATAAAAAACATTTGAAATTTTTTACAAGAGTATATGAACTTGCTCCATGCTCAAAAATCACCATGTAAAAATACCTTTGCTGTTAGTTGTACAATCAAAGAAATATTGAGACACAGATTCATACACATATGCGATTCAAATTAGCATATACAGAATGATTATTTTAACAGTAGCCACTCAATTTCTATTATAATAATAATTTTCTTTTTTTTTTGGCTTTTGTAAGTTACACATACCAGCTGTATCCAATAAATACCCCAAAAAATTTATTAAAAATTATATTTCAATCTTACAATTTATTTAAATGGATCACCTTCAAAATAGTGTCCTTTAGCTTTGATACAATGCTCCCAATGGTCTTGCCATTTTTTGAAACACCTTTGAATGTTCTCCATAGTTATAGCCTTTAGCTATAGTGTCGCGTTCTATATAGTTTTATTAACGTCCTCGAATCTTTGGCCTTTGAGGGTATGTTTTAGTCTTGGAAACAAAAAAATATCACAGATTTTCAGGAGATAAGTCAGGTGAATATGCTAAAAATTCACGAATAGAAAGTGCTAAATGCGCTGGTGCATTATCATGGTGCAAAAACCATGACTTTGATTTCCATGCTTCTGGCCATTTATGGCATAATTTTTCTTTTAATCTTTCTAGTACTTGTTTATAAAACACTTAATTTACTGTCTGACCTATAGATATAAACTTATAATGGACTAAACCAAAAAAATCGAAAAAAACAATGAGCATTGCTTAATGTTTGACCGGACCTGACGACATTTTTTTGGACAAGGTGAATTTGCAGTCTTCCATTGCGATGACTGAACTTTGGTTTCGGGATCATATCCAAACACCCATGTTTCATCACCCATAATAATTGATTTCATAAAATTTGGGTCATTAGAAACCCAAACAAACTTCAATGCTATATTCCATTTGCTCCTCGGTTAACAATTTTAGCACTAATTTTGTGGACACTCTTTGTCATACCCAATTCATCTGATAAAATCAAATGACAAGTACCAATTGATATGCCAACTTCATTGGCTACTTCTCTGACAGTTAACCATTTCAAAGTTGACCGTTTCATACAAAACAGTCAACTTTGAACGCATATTGTCAATGACTGATTTGAGATAATGATTATTATTATATACTAAAATAATGGTTATTATCTCTAGTTTATTTTGGTATAATAACATTACCGATAACATCAAACGTTTTTCTTTAATAATTTTAGTCTGGGTATTTATTGAACACACCTCGTATATCTTTATTTATCAGTTATAAAATCATTTTTATGTTCATCCCTCATGCCTTATAGGGATGTCAACTTTATTTTTTTAATAATAATGGAAACACATATTTAACTAGTTTATAAAATTGCAAATTATCAATTTAAGAACATAACTGGCCGATAACAACTTTTGGACCAGTATTTCAGAAGTAAAGAACAATTTAGAGTAATGACTAAAAGTGAGGAAGAATTGCTATTTTTAACACTAGACATTTCTTGGCCTCAGGTCTAGGTATAAATATTTTAATAACTTTTGAAATTTGGGTCCAAAAGTTGTAATCGATCAGTCATTTTCTTTTTTATAAGATAGTTATGTATAAATATATCCATTAAAAAAATAAAGTTGACATACATATCAGACATAAAGGTTAAACATAAAATAATATTTTATAACAGATAAATAATAATACACATGTAACTAAAAAAAGTCAAAAAAAAAAAGGATTATTTAAAGAGAAATTGAATGGCAACTATTAAAAGCATCACGGTGTATGTGTGCCTATGGGTTCATTCATTGTAAATTATTTAAGAGTAAAATTAATGTATAATAACAATTAGTATCCTTCCAAAAAATGTATAGATTAATATTTTTTTAATTATAATTAAAAATAATTAAAATTTGGCTATTAGAAATTTTACTTATAAAAATAATTGAATTACATAATATTTTAAAAATAACCTAATAAAATTGGATAATCCTCATTTTGAAGCCATGGTGTAACTATAGTAACCTTTTTCCAAATAATTTTTGATATCACCTGCTGATAATGATACTTTAGTGGTCCTTTTCCCGTTATAACACACACAAGTTTTGGGTATGTATCATCACTTTCGTCATATTCTGGAAATAAAAAAAAATTTAGTTGAAAATTCCTCTATATTCTAAAAATAAAATATGATGAAAATTTGATTTTATGAAAGTAAATTAGTACAAATTTAACAAATACAAAATAAAAATTTTAATAGTTTAAAGAAATTATTATTGAAACAACTCAATTTGTTCCCAAATTCAAAATAGCAATTTTAAACATTTATTATTACTAATATCTATTAGTATTTTCATAATGTTTAATTTACTTTGCAAAGATCTCAAAAGAATGAAAAAATCTTCATCTGGCGTCCAACTAGTACTTGATACTAACAATCCAATTTGACCAGTTACCAATTGTTCTTCTACTAAACTTGGTAAATTAATTGATTTTAGTACCCTAATTTTTTCTGCTTTAGTAACTTTAGTGCTGAATTGTTGACCAGGTTTATCAAACAAAGTCAGTGCTCTAAAAAAAATTTCATTTTTATAAATTTTAAAGATCCTAGAAAAAAGGAATTCATATCAGTTGTACTAGCTTTTCGAGAAATAACTTTTGATACAATTTTAAATTACTATATATCATATAAAAGTTCTTATTTATTTTTCTAATATGTACATTTATTCAAATCTCCAAAGTTTGAAATAAATATTTATTTTAGATCATATAAAATTCAAAAATGAATTAATAAAAAACCAATAATATTTGTTGGTTTTAGTTTCTTATATCAAGTATAAAACATAACAATAGATACCTAATATTCCAATTAACTGCTAAATCTTCACGCATTGCTTTAGTCACACAAAAGTTAGCATCTGCTAGTTTGCCAAAAAATTTTTCATAGAGTAATGACAACTTGACTAATGGAGCTGATTTTCCTACTGTTAATGCTAATACTGAATAAGCATAGTTATGCCAATCAATTATAAATTTAGCATTCACTAATAAACAATAAAACCAACAAATTGCTAAGGTAGGAATGGCTGGAGGATTTTGTACCAAAACAATATCAGATTTTCGTTTTATTAAAATTGCCCAGAAAAGTGTCAAAATTTGCCAGTAAACTTTAAGTATGAATGACATTAATCTTGGAACATCTAAACAATGTTTTTAAGTATACGTAATTATATAATTAATTTATAAAAAAAAAAAAATTAATACTAAATAACAGTGAACAATAAAAAATCCTTATATAAATTTTCAATGATTCAAGGAACTTCTTAGATTTTTAATATGTATAAATACTAAATATTTATTTCACTAATAAAACCAAGTAATGTAGAACAACTAAATTATAATTTTATTAGTGCTATACTTATATTTATAAAAAAAAAACATTCAATTATTATAATATAGAGTAATTACATTTTTCAAATGAAGGTACTTTTTTCAAACTGATTATATTACTTTTTTCTTTTATACCAGTAAGAACTGGACTCTCTAAATACCCAATAATATCAACATCAAAACCTTCATTAATAAGCGATTGAGCATGATACTGCATTCTGGGGCTTCTTCCTATATCTCCCAACACTACAATACAGACGTTTTTATTCTTTTTTTCTCTCATAATATCGTTGAAAGTTGATTAAATTTAAACAAAAAATTAACAAACTACTGTGAAAATTTGAACATAAATTTTACTTTTTAATTTAATAATATTCATACCCAATTAGATATAAGTTGAAAAATAATAAATTTTAAATACTAGACCAACATAAAACAATTATTTCACATACATCTACTGAGGAAGTACATGGATAATTATGTTATAAATCCCTTTTAGAAATAACGTCTAAGACAAACACTAGTTTGCCAATAAAATGATAAGTAAAAAACATGCAGATATGTAAAAACAAGTTATTTGGTATTATGTGATAAGACACAACACGATCTCAAGATATACAAAATATTGACTTTTATATTTATCTATTGTTCTTATTATTTTATTATATATTAGAATTATTACTCTTATTTTTAGTGTTTAAAGTTATTTGTTTTAATTTAGCTAATTTTTTATTCATGTATAAAATGGTAATAAATGATTAAAAAATAAAAATATTTGTACATAAATACTTCTCTTTACAGGCTTCATTTGAAGAATATAACAAAGAAGAAGAAATTTGCCAAGATTTATCTAATATAGCAATTAATGAGAGTAGCTTTTGTGAAAATTCATCTTTAGAAGATAGTGATTGTCAGTAATAAAATAATTTTTGTATCTAGTATCAAGAATGAATTAAATAATTATACGTAATAATAAGTTTTTAAAGTAATATTTCCTATACACTTTTAGGCAGCAGTGAAGAATCTATTGAATTAAAAGTACCATTTAAAGTTGGAATGTGGGATTTAAAACATTGTGATCCCAAAAAATGTACTGGTAGAAAATTGATGAGAATGGAAATGATCGACAAACTAGGATTCTCAGCTATGTTCAATGGCATTGTTTTATCGCCCATCGCTACTGAAGTAAAAAAAATCTTGTTAACTGTAAAATTGTTTAATTTTTATTTATTTTCAGACAGTATCTGCAAAAGACAGTATCATTATGTCCAAATATGGAGTAGCTGTTGTTGACTGTTCATGGGCACGTCTTCAAGAGACTCCATTCCATAAATTACAAAACAAAAAAGCAAAAAAAAACCTTAGACTATTACCTTATTTAATTGCGGCTAATCCTGTAAATTATGGTCATCCAAGTAAACTTTCCTGTGTAGAAGCTTTAGCTGCAGCTATGTATATAACAGGTTTCAAAGAAATTGGTGACCTATATTTATCCAAATTTAATTGGGGTCCTACATTTATTAAACTTAATCAAAATTTACTAAATGTTTATGCTAAATGTAAAGATGGGAAAGAAATCATTTTATTCCAAAATAAATATTTAGAAACACTTGGTAAGTTATTTGTCAATAAAAATTTTATAAGAATTGAAATAAGAATAAACTTGCTTAATATTAATATAAGCAAGTTTATTTTAAATTTTCTCTGGGATAAAACATTTTACTATGCTTTGTTTTTTTAATCTAATAACCTTATAGTAAAAATTGATTCTTAGGCAAACTAAATTTTTTAATCAATTGATATTAATTTGTAAATTTTGAATTGCATATATACGCTAACTTAACACTTGTTTGCTACAATGATATATATTCATAATTTAAACTTTTCGGATATAGATAACGATCGACATAACAAAAGAAGCTCAAGTTCATCGAGTGAATCCAGTGACAATGAATAGATTTATATAAATTAAGACTTTATAATGTTATTTTAATTTGATGCATATTTTTATAATTGGAGACTGATACATAAAATTATTTTAATATCTGCATTTTATCATTTATAAATAAATTATAAATGTCAAATATATTATAATTTTTGATTATAAGTTGCATGTTAAAATTAACTATAATATTGATGAAATATTTCTATTTGAAATTTTAAAAGTAAATTAATCCTAATTAATTGTTAATTTTTATAAATTAATAACACTAAAAAATAATATTAAGCTTAAAAAACTAATTTTAGGTTACCATTCAATAATTTCTTAATAAATTGGCATATCTTCTTATTTTGTGTTGTTTAAATAGAGCACATAGGCATGAAAATTTTCAATAAATTGATACAGAAATAAAAATAAATTAAAAATATATACACACATTTTATGATAAAAAGTGTTCATACACAGTTTACTTTTGTATAATAAGCACTAATCTAAATTTTACAAAATTTAAAATGCTAATGATATTGAACTACATAATTATTAGTTCATTCTTATCATTAAAAACTCAGTTATAAATGACAGGTAACCAAAAATAATTACATATTATAAATGATAATTGTGCTAATAATCTTTATGCAAAAATGAACAGGTAAAATTTTACAAATTATAAGAATCAATATAAAATGAAAAAGTTGTTTACTAATTATATTGATATTAAAAAAATATATATTAAAACACAATAAAAGGGAACCAGTCACAATATAAATATGATACAACGTAATGTAGATTTACTTTACGCTTCGTCTTGGTCTTCTTCATCACCTTCTTCTTCCTCCTCTTCATCTTCTTCCTCTCCAGCAGCAAGTTCTGCTTCTTCATCTTCCAATTCTTTTTTTGCTGCTGCTTCTACTTCAGGATCCCTACAATATAATCATAAGATAAGTCACTTTTATTGATTCATTTAAAGAGAACTCACTTTTCTATTTTATCTTTGTAAAATTCTATAATATGTTCTTTACGAGTTTGTTGAATAAATGAAACTGGTGCTGAGTAATATTGCTCTTTAACATTGGATCCCCAACCAGAATACTACAACAATCAATAAATGACATATTAAATATTCATATTGTAGTCAATGGTTAAACTGAAAAAAGATACTTACAACTGAGGTATTCTTGTACAATGTTTTGCCATCTTGTTCAAATGGAATATATTTTTGTAACAAAGCTTTGCCATCAATTTTCCATACAGGAGGGTTACCATCTCCAATCATATCAGTTTTTAGAACTACAAATGCTCCAGACTAAATAATGATAATATAAATAAAATATTTAGGTATGTAGCATATTAAATTGCCAACTAAACAAATTGGTTAATATTACAGTAAACATTATTTTACTTGTCATATGAAAAATTTCAAAAGGACAAGAAATTTAGTATTACAGGTAGATAGCTTAAAATTTAAAGATACTCAGTATCTTACTGTAAACTCTTTTGCAGGTTTAGCATTAGGTCCTTGATTCAGTTCTTCTTCTTCTTCTTCATCATCTTCATCTAATTCTTCTTCATCTTCAATTTCTTCTTCTTCTTCAGGTTCTTCTTCCTTCTTTGTTTTTTTTGCAGCCCTACCTCGTTTTGCAGGAGTAGTAGTTTTAGGTTTTGCTCCCCTTTTTTTTTTAGGAAGGACTTCTTCTTCGTCTTCATCATCTTCATCAGTACTCTTGGTTTTAGCTTTCTTTCTGGCTGCTACAGCTCTGGTTGGTCGGCCACGTTTTCCAGGTGATTTAGCCTAAAATAATAAATATTAATATTTAATTTTTAAGAAATGATTAGTTATTTTACCGCAGCACTAGGTGCCCATTCATCATCAGAATGATCATCAACTTCTTCAGGCTCATCTACTTCAAACTCATTTTCAGAATCTCCAGCAACAACATCTTTACTCTTCATTATGACTAAAGATTTCAATAAAACAAATAAATGTTTGATTAATTCAATAGTAGATGGTTACTTTAAATGAATTCATAGTCGGAACTAGTGTCAGATACATTAAAATTATTATCATGAAATAGCTAATAATTTTTACATATACACATTAAGAGGACATTAAATCACGTTATAAGGATAAACTATTTCAATCAAATTATAAACCACGTAGGATATTACAATTTTTATTAATTTCATATCTAAAATAACCAGTAATCATCAAGTTTAACCAAAATGATAAAACAGTATGTCTTCGGAATAGTTTTAAAAAAGACTAATTAACTTACAAGAACTAATAAGTAAATATAATTAAAGCCGTTTATGGTTCGCGGCATGGATGCCGGCAGTTCATGTTTTCAAATATTGTAACAAAATTGCGAGTACTTACCGTTTTAAGATGAGTATGTCTAAAGTACAAATATAAAATTGCCTCAAAAGGCTTAGCAAGTACAATATATATTTCAACAATGGTAAATCGTAGATGAAACGATGTTTACAAAGAATTAAGAAAACGACGCAAACATGAAAACATGAAACGAATAACCTGACGATTGTCGTCTCCGTAACACACACAAACACAACAATTGCACGAAACCGCTACATGACGGCGTTACAACACAAGCAACCACGAGCACTGAACGATATCCCACGTTGGTCATCCTGTTTACAGCAACTTTGTTCACGGTGTACACACTTACCAATCAAGTACCGGCTGCTTACCAGAACATTTGAGAAATATAGACCAATTTTAGTCTTCATAATACGATCTTTAATTATTGATAACATTATTTTTATTTGAAGCTAAATTAATTGTTAAATTTTGTTTATCACAATTTGCACAGATGAAACAAGTTAATTCAATTGCATTAGTGTAAATTTCAAAACTTTGACTAGTGAATTTAAAGAAACTTATTCTCATCTACCGAAAAAATCGTTTATTCTTTAAAATTTTTATTTATAATCCAAATTTTATTATTTAACTATTGGTAAGTTACTTTAAAAACAAATTATTTATTTATGAGTAGAATTTGGGACTTAGCACATTTATAACATTTGTTGGACCACTTCTGAGACACCCAACTCCATGAAAATTTGTGATAGGTATATACAGTAAAACAAGATTTTTTTTGTGTTGAGGAAGAGAATGATCCCCTTTAACTCCTAAAACTAAAATCCTATCTGATATACATTCTCTAGGATTGAAAAACAAAAACTAATATCTATTTATCATTAATATACTTGGGATTACTCAAATATTTTATAAAGTCCTGAATTTACTTATAATATGATTTATATACAATGATTCTAAATTTGACTTATAATAATCAGTGAATTGTTAATTAAGAAATATAATACAAAATTAAGAAAAAACATTATCCATTTAATATTCATCTGGGAGTACTATTTTATTTAATAATTAAGATGTTCTGTAATTATATTGACATAGTTATGCAATGGATGAGGATTCAATTAGTGTTCATGGATCTACTGCTGACTCATTAGAAGCACTAGATGATTTACAAGTGCTTGATGAAATCACTGAAGACATTGATGATATAGAGGAAAATGAAGAATATGATACAAGAAGTGAAGCAAGTTCTAGTTCTATTGATACTTCTGCCAATCAATCAAAAGTTGATAGGCATATTACTATAGATAATGATAAATCTACATCGGATAATAAACCATCAAAATCCTATTTGTCTCAATTAAGATTCCTATTTAAAGAAGCTCGATATTTTATTATAAAAAGTAATAATTCTGATAATATTGATTTAGCTAAGGTAAAAAACTGCTGGTCGACTAGACCATGGAATGAAACAAAACTTAATCAAGCTTTCAGAACTTGTAAAAATGTCATATTAATATTTTCTGTCAAAGAAAGTGGTAAATTTACAGGTAATTTATTTAATTCTATATTTTTGAACAATGTGCACTATGTTTTAATATTACTATTGTTATCTTAGGATTTGCAAGAATATCAGAACCAGCCAGATATGACTTATCACCTGTTGGTTGGGTTTTACTAGGAGGCCGTAACTTTTCTGGAGTTTTCAAGATTGATTGGATATCTAAAAAAGATTTAGAATTCAATGATACTTCTCATTTGTACAATGGATATAATGAAAGAAAAACTGTAAAAATTGCTCGAGATGGTCAAGAAGTTGATCCAAAAACTGGCTCAAGGCTTTGTTCTATGTTTCCTGAAGATGAATCAATTGACTTGCAATACATTTTGAAAAAATCTAAAAACCATCAACCATCAATTAGTACAGCAGAATTACGACAACGTCGTCGAGTTCTAGGTTTACCAGATGATGGTCCAACTAGTAAAGCATATATCAATGCCTATCGTTTAGGTTTACCTTTTAAACAGTCTAGAATAATGTCTCATCCATATTATGTACGTCCCCCAATGTATTCATCTTATCAGTATAGTTTAGGAAGATCTCCTATTGTTTCACGTTATTATGATAATGTATCAATATCACCTATGCGGGTACCTATTCCTATAACAGATACTTACACCAGACCAATTGAAGGTTTTTACAAGAGAGAAAGACTATTAAATCTAAGGACTCATACAAAAGATTATAGGCGTGAGAAAGAACGATTTAGACATCGTTATCATTAAATATAATATTAATAATTTTCCATTATGTTATATAATTATATCAAATTTACTAGTCTCTATAAGTTATTTTAAAATTAATAAGGTTACTAAATTTATAGTAAAAAATGACTGTATTTTGTTCAATATTAATTAATGTGTAAATATTTTTTGTGATTTTAATCAATTATGTGGCCTATAAATTTTGACATATATTAATTTTTTATTATGGTTTGTTTGGTGTATAATTATCTTAAAGCACTTAAATGAAGATTTAAATTTTTTTGTACATACATAAATTAACTTTAAGACAACCAATGTAATTTAAATGTTCTGAAAAAAAATTGTTTTGTTGTTTTAAATTATCCATAATATAATTATAAAAAAAAACAGTTAATGTTTAAATCTAAAAATTGTTTTTAGTAGCATTTAAATTTTGTTTATATATATATATATATATATTAGTATTATTAAATATTATGGTACTATACATCATTTATTGAGAAGATATTTAAAAAAAAAATTTTTAATATTATTAATACAAGCAAAATTTCTCTGTAGTATTACTCCATTAAAGCTAAAGATATCTATCAAGATTTATATATTCAGAAGAATTTAGTTTGCAATATAATAAAAATTAAAAATAAAAGTCATCTCTTGCTAAATGCTGTTTATTTCATTATATAATCTTTTCATTCGTTTTATTTTATAAAAGTTATAATATCTATCATAATGATTAAATGGAACATATAGTTATTGGGATATCCTTAGCTAATGTGTTGTATTTTGTACTTCTTTGAAAAAAATTTAAAATGAATATTTTTTTAACTTTTTGTTGGTATTTACTATTTGTATTATTTTCTTTAAATTTCGATTATACGAGTTTATATAAACTTTTCTTTTAATTATCAAACGTAAAATTGAGTTAGTTATTCTGTACCAAAATATTACACTAATGCTATTAAATGTATAGTTGAATTTTTTTCTCAAAAGTAAGTTAGCTTTATAAAATAAAATATAGTAAGTATAGTAGTACAATTGGCCTTAGACAAAATCAATATAATGTTGAAATCATATAGTCAACACTGAGTACTTTAAAAGTTGTCTTGAAAAGTAAAATTATTAGATTACTTGATACTAAATATAGTATTTATCAATTTCACAATAAATAAATTAACTGATGAATAATTAAAAATTTAACAATAAATTAATGTATCTAGATCACATTATTCCAAGGAGAAATCATCACGACGATTAGGAAAAAATCTTACTCTAAACCGCTTTTATTATTGACATGACCTAACTAATTTTTTTTAGTTTGCGACGTTCTAAAATTGATATCTTAACCTTTATCCTCTAACTATCATTTCGCTATATATGTTCGATCCGGTTGTTTGATAAACAATAACTAAATCAGATATTAAATTAACACTCCTCACATGTTGCGATTTACAATTAAAACTACATTATATATAAAATACTTCATTCCCTAAAACGTCACCGTGGTTTGTGGAGGGTAACGTTTTAAAATCATCATAAAGTGATAAGAAATTAAGATTCTATGACTGAGTTTGTGGGATCCAGAAATTGCATAAAAAGCGGAAAGGTTAAAAATTAATTAAATTATTATTATGTGGTAAAGACATTTTCACTCACTATCTGTGTTATTAATAGGATTCCTCAAACACAATATTAATTTGAGTACCCCAATATATTCATAGCTGCAAAGAACTATTCTAAAAATTGGTGCCATCAGCTTTAAAAAATGAAGGAATTATTATAAAAATTCTACTAATTAGTACTCGTTGTTATAAATATTACATATTTGAGATAAATCCAACAAAAAATGGATAAAGCGACTGATGTTACCGTTGAATGTGTGCAGACTAATCGAACTTTCCCTATCAACTGTTGCACACAAGGTCACACTATTTAAATTTTTAAATTCAGTTTTTACAACTATATTTAAATTAACTAAACTATTTGATATTTAATAAGATGGCAATATATTTCTTCGAAAACGGATCTTTACAAAATAAAATATTGATAAAACTTGTTTGATCTAGAGGGTATTGAGCAAGCACGACGTCGGAATGTTTTTCTTATCTCGATTTCTGATTTATAAATATGTTTTTTTATTTTCAAATATGGATGAAAAACAACAGTTTTTATTGTCGGAATAAATCAAGTCCGTCCTCTAGAAATTACTTTAATGAATAAGGAAGTAAAATAAAAAATTATAATCACACAATCAATATTAGTTATTAATTTCCAATCAACCCTGATTGCATAACACTTTTTAATGCTTATAAAAATCATCACAAATATTGACTTTAATATTAAAAAGGTAAATTTTCTACATAAACATTTGAAAAAACCTGTATTTGATTACAATGAATCAATTATAACAAAAATTGCTGGAATAAAAAAAAAATTAGAGATTATAATAAACCTGATCTTAAGAATTGCTTTTTTTTAAATAAAAATATTATCAAGTATTCATTAAAGTTATTCCTATCTGTTTTATATACTTTTGATCATTAGTTTGCTGTGTTAATTTTTTTTTTTTTTTATAAACAAATCCAATTTTTATATTTGAAATCGTTAGTTATTTGAATGTTTATTAAATCATTATATACACATTTGAAAAATGTATTTTAATTTTGTCACAATTCCTATTTTTTACCATCTTTATAGGAAATGTTTTTTGATTATACTAACCCTTAATAAAATTCAGTTGTTAATAATTCTAGATAATAAAGACGTTTAAATAAAGAGAACTGTTATCAGTTATCAGACACTATTAAATAATTTAAAACAATTGAAAAAAATTATTTAATTTTATTACCAAATGATTGTATCATATGTATTTAAATAAAATTTTACTAATTTAAATATCAGCGAATTTCAATCAATGATATAATCTTAAGTTTTTTAATTTATTCAATAATAATAATTGATGTTATTTCTAAGTACTGTGCTTCAAAAATTTGTAGTGAGTATATTACATATAACTGTTTTCTTAAGTAGTTAATTACTTAGTGAAAGTTATTAGATTTTACAATATAACTATTTTTTCAGTTTCAAAAATTTTAATTTAATATATATTTTTTTACTTAAATTGATTGTCAAATATTATAGAGCTGGATTAGGAAAGTGATAGTATTTACTTGATTACCTTATCAAGTTATGGAACAATGATAAAAATTAATTTAAAAAATGATATTCAAATTTAATAACCAATATTTTATTTTAAACCCAAATATTTGTTAATGGTGTTATTTTAGTTATCGTCATCTAATAAATGTTATCCTGGACCATGCAAAAAAGTCTTGAATGTAATTGTATAATCTAATTTTTTTTTTTTTTTTTAGTGATTTTCACTTTAAAAAATTGATCAATATTTCAAAATGAATATTTCTAACCGAGTAATAGTTACACCATTAGGAGCTGGTCAAGATGTTGGTCGTAGTTGTATATTAATAACTCTTGCTCATCGTAATATCATGCTTGATTGTGGAATGCATATGGGCTACCAAGATGAACGAAAATTTCCTGATTTTTCATATATAACCACAGATGGAAATATTACTGACATTATAGACTGTGTTATTATATCACATTTTCATTTAGATCACTGTGGGGCATTGTCCTACCTCACTGAACATCTTGGTTATCATGGACCTATATATATGACTCATCCCACTAAAGCAATTGCACCAATCTTATTAGAAGATATGCGTAAACATTTAGTTGAATATGAAGAAGAAGCTAAGTATTTTACCTCGAGTGCCATAAGGGATTGTATGAAAAAAGTTACTGCTGTAAATCTACATGAAGTTGTTACAGTAAAAGATGATATTGAGCTGAAAGCATATTATGCAGGACATGTTTTAGGAGCTGCTATGTTTTACATTAAAGTTGGAAATGATTCCGTTGTATACACAGGAGATTTTTCTATGACTCCAGATCGTCATTTAGGAGCTGCTTGGATCGATAAATGTAGACCAACATTACTAATAACTGAATCAACATATGCAACAACTATTAGGGATTCTAAAAGGTGCAGGGAACGAGACTTTTTAAAAAATGTTCATGAATGCATAGATCGTGGTGGAAAAGTCTTAATACCAATTTTTGCTTTGGGAAGAGCTCAAGAACTGTGTATTCTTATTGATACATATTGGGATCGTATGGGTTTGAAAGTTCCTGTATATTTTGCAGCTGGGCTTACTGAAAAAGCAAATAGCTACTATAAAATGTTTATTACTTGGACAAACCAAAAAGTTCGACAAACATTTGTTCAGCGTAACATGTTTGATTTCAAACATATTAAACCATTTGATAAAGGGTATATGCATAATCCAGGTCCAATGGTTGTCTTTGCTACTCCTGGCATGTTACATGCAGGATTATCTTTAAATATATTTAAAAAATGGGCACCTGATGAAAAGAATATGCTAATTGTACCAGGATATTGTGTGTCAGGTACTGTAGGTAACAAAGTACTAAGTGGAGCAAAAAAAATTGAAGTGGAACCAAATAAATTTATAGATGTAAAAATGTCAGTTGAATACTTATCATTTTCAGCTCATGCAGATGGAAAAGGTATTATACAACTTATTAAAAATTGTGAACCACAAAATGTTTTATTGGTTCATGGAGAAGAAGAAAAGATGAAATTTTTAAGAGCAAAAATAATGCAAGAGTTTAATATAAACTGTTACATGCCAGCTAATGGAGAAACTGTAGAAATTGAAACTGCAAATGTCCACACATTTAGTATGAGTACAAAATTAATCAAAGAAATACTTGATGATCACACTAATAATTTAGGAAATGGAAAACGTTTAGTTCATGGAGCCTTTCTTTTGAAAAATGGAATGACACATTTAAATGCAATGAGTGTAAAAGAAACATTTAAAGAATTAGATATTCAACGTCATACTCTAAGGTTTTTCTTTTTAACATTTTACTACATTAAATACTTAAAACTTGTGTTTATTTTAAATTAAAGGCATAAATTATAACAATACTTAAATTTATTTTTAGATTCACATGTGCAGTAGAAATAAAAGAATCATCATCAATTCAAAAAACTAAACTAAAACTATTCAGTATGTTAGAAAACAAATTTTCTTTATTTAAAAATAAATTAACAATGTCGGATGGATCTATATCATTGGCATCAATATTGGTAACTGTAGAAGATGGCAATGATAACAATAATAAAAAAGTTGTTGTTTCATGGACTAATGAAGATGAACCATTAGGAAATCGTGTCCTTGAAATGTTGCAAGAAATAAGTGAATCTAACTTATCTAAAAAAGAAGAACCTTCCTAAAACTCGGAGCTTGTATAAGTCTTAAATGAAATAAATCATACCATGTTTACTTAATTATTTTAATTTTGTATGTATATAATTGTATCATATGTTATTAAAAATACATTTTTTTTTAAAGATGTTGATTTAATTAAATTTTTCTATAAAATATTTAAAAACAATTTATTTCTTATAATTTTATTTTTAATTTTAAATTAATTTTTGCATTTTTACTGCAGAATTTTACTATATATAAATTAAAAATCTTCTTTACTCATAATACTTATATCTTCATGTGTTATTTCATTCTCTTTAAATATATCTGTGATGTTGTGTTCCATCATTTTATCTATTATTGGCGGGATTCTTTGTTCAATTTTTTCCTGAATATTGATCTTATCTAAAACATCTTGAATTCTTTTTTTAATGGGGAGTTCCATAGCATTTACAATTTGATTTCTTACAATATTTGGTATAATATTTATAAGAGCTTCTGCTAAGTAATCTAATGTTCCAGCTCCATCCATACGAAGTTGTATATTTCCTACTGACAAACCCATTTCATTTAATATTGGAGCTAATCTGGTATCCATTGGTTGGGTTACATTAGCTTCAACACGTATATAATCAATTGAAAAGCTTGTAGTTCCAGTAGTTTTTAAAATTCCTGCAGCTCCAATTTTCCATTGACAGTGTCCTTCTAACTCTTGGGTACCAATATGAACTACAGATATGATAGTTCTATTTTGTATACTAATGTTCATATCCCCTAGACGATATATATTAGATAAACCTAATATCCATATATTATTTACATCCAAGCTGAATATATTAAAATTGAATGCATTTACTATATCATCTAGACGCCATGGATCAAAACCCATTGACTTAATTTGTTGACGACTTTCAGCTATTAAAAGATCGATTGGTGGTATTGTATTAGGAAAACGTTTGAAATGTTTCATTTTTTCATTTAATTCATCTTTAATCATTATGTTAACAATTTTCATAATTATTGGTTTAATTGTTTGCACAACAAAACTAGCAAATCCATTTACAAATGTTTCATAGAAGGGGAAATTTATATTATTTGTATTCATGTGTAGACTTTTATAGTTCATATTCATATCTATATTGTTAGTTTCTAAATGACCTGAATCACTTACTTTTAAACTTACTAAACCATCTATGTGTAAATCGACTAGTGTAACATTATAGTATCCTATATACGTTTGGAACAATTGCCAAGTTGAATAATTACCCACTACTTCTAATGTATCAATTGATATTCCAAATTCTAACTAAAAGTTAAGATGTCTTTATTATTAAATGTATATTTTGTACCCTCAAGTTAAAGAGTTAAAAAATAAATTTTAAATGTTTACCTGTATATCAACAATGTTAACATAAAGTTGCTTTAATCTGAATTTTGAATGACCACGCATGGTTGAATTATACATAGACCATGCTACACCATTTGAGTCAGGAATAGGTTCAGGATCTGAATATGGTGGATTAATTGCTTTTGGTAAACCTACAGGATCTGGATTTTGATAATGTTCAAGAACATTTCGAGTCAGCAATGTAATATTTTTTACTCGTTCATCAGTTTCAGATTGCAAAGGACCAATATCATCAAATGGATGATGCACTAAGTAATACAAACAAAATTAGAAATACTAAAAATAATTACAATAATTTATGCAAAGATAATTAAACGTAAAACTTACATTGAGAATTACAGTTTAAAAACAGAATAGAGGTAATGACAAAGTGTAATACATTCATATTAACATTATTTGAACAATTTTATTTATAACAAGATTTTTGATAAATTTTGTTACTTTTATTATATAAATTTTATCAAGCCTTAATAAGTTTTTTTTTTTATTGACCTTTGAACACTTACTCATATATTTCATTGTAATTAACAGTTATTAGATAAGTTACTGAATAAGAAACTTGTAAATGATAATTACATTTGTTTTTGTTTAAATAAATAATAATTTGAGTATCATGCAACATTTATAAGTTATACATTTTATTCTAATTTTTATTTATGTCCATATTTTTATATCCTTATAAAGTTGTAAAAATATTTTAGGAAACAAATTAGACATAAAACAACTAAATATTATTAATAACGAGTTCAAGCAAAAATGTAAATATTTTTCTTAATTAATTAATTTGATAAATAATTATTTAAAAAAGTTGGCGTTAGCAAAACAATCAGGATAAAAAAAGTTAAGTATATTCGGAACCAAACGCGGTGGAGTTGAGGACTTTTTTTTATTTAATATTGATTATCATCTTATAATAATTAAAATTACTGTTGTAAAACGTTTCGATACGCATTTAAAACAATTTTAAAAAAATTATCATATTTACCAAAAATTACATGATTTATGATTTAAAAATTGAGATTTCGGATAGTTTTTCTTTTTATTTTCTTTAAGTACATTGTATTAGTTTCAATTTAATTTATGTTTAAAGAAGTTAAGTTCCTTAGAACATTTACAAAAATTGAAAAAAAAAAAGGGATGTGATTTTTAAACTCCCACAGTACTTTAGTTAACAATAGGATTTTCAAAAAAAATGTTGGCAAAGCAACTGTTTGATTATCAATAAAAATATCAACATTGACTGTTATAAAACAACTAATTTTTTGGGATATTTTTCATTATGAGAATTGTAGAAAATTTTTTAAAATGATGTCCCTAATAGCAGAGGCAAATTAGAGGGTTTCAAGGGTCATAGTCCCTACAAATTTTCAAAAAATGACTTACATGATTATATATAAAAACAATTAGAGAGGTTATAACATATGAGTACCTCCAAAAATTTTGTTAAAATTGCCTAATAGCCTTAACTAGATACGTTTTGTTATCTTTTAAAGTATCGTTGAGCAAAATTGGTCTAGTAGAGGCGAAGAAATCGTGTATAGTAACTAACAAAAAAAGATATAAATATGGTAGAGTAAAAGTAATAGTTTCTCAGCTAGGCATTCAAACTGAAAATAAATTAATTGAGTAACAAATGATAAAAAGAAATGATAATTTTGTAATTTTAGTAAATTACAAAATTATAATAAATTAAAAATAATATTATAAAGTTCAATTTTTTGAAAATCATGAGGTATTTAGATTGCAAGTGGCATGAGTTAAGGTTGAGATATTCCATTTCAAAGGTTTCTTTGTCATAACAAACATTTTGACTATACCAGAAAGACTAATAATTTTTCATTAAAATGTGTTTTTAACTCATTTTTCATTAAAGTGTCACTTGTACTCCTAAAGAACTGGAGTGAAATATGTATTAATGAAATAATAATCTAATTATCAATTAATACAGTTCATAAAATATTTATGAAACCAATCTCTTTTAACACAATAATTTTACAATAATAACAAAATATAAAAATTATTATTATAATATTAGGTTAATAATTAATTTTTAACATAAGTTAATACATCGTTTAATGATAAAAACTTAAAAATAAATTAAAAAACATATTTGTTTAATATTAAAATTATTTGGACACATTACAGAGTATTTGATTAAAGTTTTAACAAAAACTAAAATAATAAAAAATGTATTTAAAAGAAATTAAATAATTGTAAAATTCATTATAATATCACAAGTATTCATTTAAATGTGAAAATCATATGAATTATTATTACAAGTTATGTTTTACAGTAAAACTTTTTATTTAATAAAAATAACAATAAGTTGACATTAACTTTTGCAGTACCAAAAATATCCATAATTGTAGCTCCCTCAAATTGACGTTGCAGTAAATCCTAATCAACAAAAAAAAAAAAATCATTAAATTTTTAATCTAAACTAGTAAAAATGAATTAAATTATGTATTTACTGACGAAATTGTAAAATTGATAATTTAAAGTTTGATTTTAAAGTTATAAAAATAGAAATCAATGAAAATAAGGCCTCACTATTTTTACTACTTATACATGTCAAATATGAAAAATGTCAAAAAACTGTAATACTGTACTATACTTTAAATATACAAATAATCATGTGTAAGTGCTTAGTGCATATTTGCCTTTTTTCAGGAGAACATTTAAAATTTTTTTTATCTGATGAATTATCACTTATTTAATGCAATTTAGTGACTCAAATATTGAGTTTATACTTTCCTAATTTATACACAATAAACTTTACTTAAAGTTTAATACACTTATACTATTAACTCAATTTAGTTAAAAAATAATACTTTTTTGCATTAAACCATTGATATATAATTGTATTTGTGTGAATATGGTCAAGTCAAAATAGTTATTTTACAAATCCAAATAGTAAATAAAGTAATAAGTAAAGAAATAATGCAACTAACTATGAAAACAACTTTGATATACTGTGAAAATATCCAATAAAATTATAAATAGTGTCCAGAATTGTACATATTTATAATTTTTGTGAAGTTATTCTGAACATGCAGTACAAATTTTTATTAATCAATTTGAAAACATAGTAATGTATTGTTACCATGGGTTTTGGTTCTTTTTGAAGGAGGCGGAGGTTACAAAGTTGCACAACTTAGGACCATTCATAAAGGCTCAAATAAAATTTATAAGCACATATCATTTATCCCCCCTTAGCAAATAGTCTAAAAAAATACAAAATTTGACTAGATCACCCTCTTACAAAAATTATTAAAAATTTTTTCATTTTTTTGTACATACAATATTAAAATTTTTAATTAATTGTAAGTTGCAATATTTCATATTAGGATTAACAATATTGATTTAACATGTAATGTTATTTCACATGATTAATTTGAATGTACTTTATTCATTAGTTTTTATATACCTGTATATCAATATTCACTGTTTCCATTTCCACGCCCATAAATTTACCTTTAACCATAAATATTCCATGATCATCAGTAGGAATTATTTCAAATTGAGCATTTTTAAACTGGCTTTCAGGAAGTCCTTCTACTTCAATCAGAATACCTTTTTCTCGTAACTTTGCAGCAGTGTATCGAACACTTTTCTTAGTTTTCAATTGCTTACTCCTTGGTGTCTTTGAAGAACTTTTTGATTTCCTATATAAAATTATTTATATTTCAAATTACTCAAAAAAAAAAAAAATAAATAATAATAATAATAATAATAAAAATAAAAATAAATTTCATATTAAATTCAATAATTACTTTTGTCCAGTATTATGTTTGTCTAGACATGTTTGTATATACTGTTCATAAGATATAATTTTTTCATTTAAATATTTAATTTTATCATCCAATCTTTGTTTAGTAGATTTCACCATTTGTAATTCCTGATTTAATGTAAAATTTAAATGAAGTTAAAATTTAAAACTACTACAAAGCTTAAAATACACTAATTGAACACACTTTAATTTGTATTTGCCGATACTTATTTCTATTACAAATATCTTTTGCTACAGATGTAATAATTCCTTGGTAACCATCATCTTTTGATACTACTCCTTCTTCTTCTAATATTTTTAAATTTTTTCTTAATTTTGCTTTTATATCTTTTAACGTTACTCTAAAAATAAACAAATTATTAATTCAATTAATATGTTCATTTTAAGTATAACTTAAAAGGATAATTAAGACAATTATAAAAACAAAATATAAATAAATATTATAAAATAATAATAAGTAAAAAAAATATAGTTCTTTTTTATATTTTTATTATAAACTATAAATTGATAACCTTTTAAATAAATTGAAGATAATGAATATTTTTAAACAATGTCTATTTTTATTACTTAAAACAATTTTATTTTTAAAAGTAATTTTCAAACTACTATTTTACGAAACTAATGTTATTTATTTTATTTTATTAAATAAATAATATAACATACGGAGCAGTATCAATTGATTTTCCAGATGCATTTAATTTTGTTTCTCTATTTGAAAACTGAAGTTCTTCATTAAGGGAAGAATCAATTCTCAGTGCCCCGGGTAATGTATGTCCACTCAGATAAGGCAATACTCTAATTAATAACTCCTTTGTTCTAAATAAATGAAATATAATTGTAATTTTAATATACCTTTATAAAATATTGATGATAAATTTACACTGTATTTTTTTCTCTCTTAATTTTTATTCCAATTACTTGGGATCGGCCACCCATATCCTAACTAAAGCTCTACATACAGCATCTCCCATATTATCTATACACAGTCCTCATATCACCCCTAATTACACCCAAACAACTCTTTTGGTCTTTCTCTATTCTATTTTTCCTTCAATGTTATTTTCCATAACTGTTCTTATAGCTTCCGATTTCTCTCTTTTCATAATATAACCAAACTATCTAAACCTCAATTTATGCCATTTCTATGTTTCCTCTTACATATTCATTCCTTATCTTATCTTCTCTTGTTACTCTACTCATCTATCTAAGCATATTCATATCTGCTACATTCATTTTGTTTTACTTTCTTGTCAACTGCTCAACACTGAAACCTATATAAGATAGTTGGTTTTATAGAACTTATCTTTTAGTCTCATTGGAATTCTCTTATCAAACAAAACACCAGACGCTTCTCTTCATTTGATCCACCTACACTTAATCCTATGACTCACATCCTAATCAATATCACCATTCTTTTCTACAAATTATCCTAATTATTTAAACATTAATATCAACATCACAGCCTTCCATACCTACAACCCACTATTAAAATCTATTAGTCCTTTGTTCCACAAAATAAAGCATCTCTTGAATACAACTCATTCAGTAATTTTTCAAAATACTCGTTCCAACCCAACTTAGTCTATCTCTTCTTCACATCTTCATCATTTGTTAACACCCTATTATCATCATTTTTTATACATCATCCTTTTTCAAAATCCTTGAAATTCTTCTCTAACCTTTGCCAATCTATAAATTTCTTTTGTTCCTAACTCATCATAACTCTTAAATTTTACATTAATTAATACAAAAATCTCTTTTGCGGCAATATTTACAATAGAGACATTCCTACTCCATACATCATTTATATTCCCCTCAAATTTATATCCCATACCATTCTTCTTTTAGAACTCTTTTTCAATCAATCTATGTTGTGTTGTCACACTCTCACCAAGAATAACATTATAATTTTTAACTTGCTTGCTTTACACTTTCTCTTCCAGATAAAATAATCAATCTGATCCATTACTTTCACTCTTTTAAAATGAAATTTATGTTTTTCATCCTTCCTAAGAAAATTCAATATGTTAATAATTTACTTTATAAATAGTTTAGTCACAGATGCGATTTTACAATTTGGCTCAAATTTATCTGACAGAGTAAGACAAACTTGAACAGTTGCAATACGTCTTTGTACCATAACATCTTCATCATCAGCTGTTAAAAAAGTTATATAATAAAAAAATAGTTTAAATAATATTATTGATACTTAATGAACAAATGTAAATTTAGGCTGCAAGACATTTGTTAATTTCATTTGTAGCAAATATTATATTATATTAATATATTTAATAAACTTTTATAAATCACGGTTTTGAATAAATTTAATACATACAGCCATATAGTTGTGAAATAGTAGGCGCTGATGGTCCCAATTCATCTAATAATTGATGTATGGGGTCAAATGGATCTGGTGCAACTTGATCAATATTGTCAAGTAGCAGAGAATGTGTTTCTTGTATTTCCTGTAAAAATCAAATAAATGATAATTTTATAAGGTTATGATTATAAAAATATATCATAAAATAATAACCTGTAGAGTTATATTTATTGTTGGTTTAGTTAAAAGAGTAACATCTGTGAATTCATTCATGTTATAATATACTTCAGGATCATCAACATTGCAGCAATTGTTAAAAAATAGCTTCAGTTTATTATAACAATCTAAAATAAATGGATTCATACACTTTAAATGAATTTCTTCCTTATACTGTAAAAATAATGAATTAAAAAAAAACATTTCCATTATAAAATTTTAACAATTAAAAACTTACTCCTTTCTTATTGGATGCATATTGCAGAATTTTAGCAACACTAGCTAAATTATGACGTTGACGATAACTTATTCCTTCTTCTATTTTAGTTTCAAATATTCCATATATTTCGGGAGTAATAATAGCAGGATTCATGTATAAATTATACACAAAGTATCCTATTATCTAAAAAAAAGTATAATTTAATAATATAATTTTATTTAAAATATTATTATTATAAAACAGATTCTCAAAAATTGTATGATCAAAATCACAAATTTTTTAGTAGTATCAAAAAAAAAAAAAAATCCCATTAGAATTAATGTTCTAGCAATTTTTTTTTTTTTTGTATTTTTTTATGGTAAATAAAATTACAATGAACATGTTATGATCTAATTACATATGTTTTTTTTTTATTTTATTTTAATCACAAAATACATAAAATTGTAAAAAGTAATTACTTTTTGATATAGGCTAGAAATATATATATATTTATACAACTAAATAACAAATAAAGGATAATTAATATGAAATATATATTTGAAAAATTTAAAACTAATATCAATTAAAAAAAAAAAAGCCAGATGTTTGTGCAACCACAAATCATTTAACAATTATTGACATGATATCAAAATAACTATATTATTAGTATTCAAATAATTTAAAATTTATATATAAAAAAAAATAATAATAATCACTATACAGTGATGATAAAAAAAAGTAAATAATAGATAATAACCATAATTTTTTTTCCTAATTTCCAAATAATTATAATTTTAATGTCTGAAACCTAAAATTTAATTTTTTTTTGTCAAGTATAAATTAATTAAATTCACCTTATAAATTTCGTTTTCACGAGTATCAGGAAATAACTCTTGTATAGTTTCACGTAAAATACGGGCAGTATATAGTATAGTATAAGGTATTAATGGTTTAGAATCTAATATTTTATTTAAGAATTCTTCAGTTACAGTTTGCAATTGTTCTAAATTGTGATTTAACCTTTTTTGTACCTCTTCATATGTTAAAGCAGTATGTTGATCCACAGAACTTGGTAAATCACTAATTAGAGGGACAGTATTTTTAAAATAATTTAGGTCAATCAAATAAGAAATAAAACATAATCAGTGTTGAATTAAAAAAAAAAAAAAGAATTAATTTTTCTTACGAAATTTCTCCAGTATTAGTTTCTAGTTCATTACGCCATGATCTATAAATGGTTACTGGATTTGTGTCAATAAACAACGTATTCCTATGATCAATCAACTAAATAATGAAAGCAAATAAATGTATTACAATTAAATGCAACTAAAATATAACATAAAAGTAAAACAACATAAATTTTAATTAAAAATTTCTGTCTTAAAAAAAAATTAATTTTTAATAATAAGAAGTTAAATAAAAGGTTAAATAAATATTACCTTCTCAACAACACTTTTAAAAATAGTTTTTAAACGTTTTTGATTATCAAAGCATCTAGCTTGATCAACAATTGCTTTTAAAACATTTAAATTGGAGGTTTTTATTTCAGCTGCTTTGGTACAATTTAACTTAATTTCTTCTTTTAAAGTTAATGCTAACAATTTAAGCATAAAATAAGCATCTCTACTATTACTCCCAGCATTAAATATTGACATTAAAGTTTGCTCCAAAAATCTATTAAAAATATTTATAAGAGTAAGAAAAAATAACAAAACCTTTTAAAATATAATTACTTAGAAATATGACGGACAGAGTATGGCAAACAGAATATAAGTTTACTTAAGTAATGTGGTTTTGTTTGAAGCATATAAAACAAATTCTGATAGCATTCTAATAAATGCTTGCTATTTTTATTAAGTGACATTAAATTAATTGAATTTTGTAGATTATTAAGCTGTTGTATTCTGTTGATGTCCTCCGTATTTTTGTTTTTATGACCAATTACATCCTTTAAAGTAATTAGAAATTATACAATTATTTATACATAATTTAATTGGGAGCAATACAATTTTTTTGAATTTCTTAATTTAGATAATAATTATTTTCCTTTCAATCCATATCACAATTAAAATTGTATACATACATTTTACACTACAACACAATTAGAAATGTCTATCTCAAAAATTAATAATAATTGTTTTCATACTTAATTTAATATAAATACATAAATTATAATAACCTGCAATGATATCCTATTTTGAATGAGGAGGCCGATTTTAATGTCTAACTCATCAGCCTTGTGTGACATTTCATTACTTTGGTGAATAAGTTTAGTTATTTGACTTCTATGATTCTGAAATAATTATTTAATTAATCGAAATTGTATTATTATTATTTTTCAACAATTTTCCATAACTAACTTTTTATTTACTACAATTGAAAATTTAATTTAAAAAAATATATAATATTCTTATAAATATGTAATAAAATAGAATATTAATTTCAATTCTTTAAACCAAATTATTTATAGATAATAAAAATTATTTATTCCCAAAAATCGAATTTGAAGTATTTTTGTCAAATAATATAATTTTTCATTCATTTCATTTCATTTACAGATAGCTTACTTGAAGTTCAATTTCTCTGCGATAATCTTCTAAATTAAAATTAAGTAAGCGTGCAAAATGTTTGACAATTTTATACGGTGGATTTTCGGTGTGAAATAGATGGTAAAAATTTTTTCGTACCATTTTCCCTCTCCATAATGCTTGCACTAAAGTTATGCAAATAATCTAAAAAATTGTATTTATAATTCAATTTGTTGAAGAAAATAAAAATATTAAATCAAGCTTACATCAAATGAAGTGTATACACGTTGTGATGGTTTTAAATATTTCCTTACTTCTATCATAAAAATAGACCATTGTTTTTTAAATAAAATACAACGCCACCATTTCTGAAAATGAATCATAATAATATTGCTACTGTTCTAGTAGTAAAGGAAGTGTTATAAATAGGTATATTTATTAATATTATATTGTAATTTGGCTGAGGAAAAGAAGCCTTCATAGCTTCATCAATAAATTTTACACCCCCTAGGATATTATTTAGTAGGCATCACAATAATAATCTCTAGAAAAACCTGATAAATTAGTCATGAAGAAAATATTAAGTTACGTACAATTTAAAAATTAAATATAAAATACAACTTCTAAATTTTTTGGAGTTTTAAAAAATTTTCAAGTTTCTATTTTTTAAATTGGCATGTATTTTTCAAACATTAACAATTTATTAATTACAACTTGAAAAATTAGAAAGTATATCAGCAAAAAAGACTGAGTCAAAAACTTATTAACAAACATCCTTCTCAGCAAAAGATAAATATAAAAATTGATATCTTCTCACTTGTATTTTAACAGCAAATAATGTTTTTTTATTACAGATCTGAACTTTTTTTAATTCTTGTCGAACTAAATAACCTCTGATACGTGCTTGAAGTTGAATAATAATATTTACAAGCTCTTCAGTATCTTTTCTATGTTGATAGCTTTTTTTCATATTCATAATTGTAGTCTATAATAATAATAATAATAATTGTTTATTAACTAAATTTTTATTATAAAACATTTTTTTAGTAAGATACATCAATAAGGTTGTCATTAAGCTTACTGATCAATACATTAAGAAAGTAGAAATAAAAAATTAACAAGGCTGCCGGGGGTTGACAACCGATAATAAAAAATGTATCAGAAATTGTGTGAAAAAGAGGCACTGTACTGGATTGGAACCCGTGACCTAAAACATCATAGAGACAAACCTTACTACTAGGCCACTATGTGCTTATAATTCAGATACTGATACACTTTCATTTAGATTGATAGCATGATGTGCAGCTAAGGTAAACACTGTACCGTATCAAAATTTAATGAAGTTATACAAAATGTAGTAACATTCAAACTGTTTTTGAACCAAACTAAACTAGAGGCATTTGGCTTAGCTTGAAATTTAAAACAATTGAACTGAACTGTTTTCTTGCAAATTAGTTTGAATTAAACTAATATAGTCAAATAATGTGCTAAATTGCTAAAAAAATGAAAAAAATAAAAAAATGTTTTGAAAATGATGTTCGCTTCGGGTTTCGCTAAAAAATTAAAAGTTTAGTTGTGGTTCAAGTTCAAAAATTAGGATTCATAACATTACAAGTAAAAAACAACCATCTAACAAAAAATTAATTAACAAAGTTTTATTTTAAACTAAAAATAAATATACTATAATGCATTTTGTAAACTATGACTTTTCAAAAAATAACTTAAAAATTAAATTGATGACAATTTCAATTAATACTAAATAAAATATGTTATGAAGTAAAATCTTACATTTAGGATAGTTGCATTTTGTATAACATCATGTAGTTAATTACCTGTATTTCTTCCATATTGATATACTTTGGAATTGGGATGAATTCTGGTTTTTCCCATGAGTAATCAAATGAATCAAGATTCAAATAAACACTACGACCATATGGTGTTTCGTGAGTTATCCAAGAGCCTCTGTGTTTTGACTATAAAATGTCTTTAAATAAAAATGTTCAATTGTTAAAAAAAACTAAATACCTTTGATTTAGCTAGGTGTAACAATGTTACAAAACATTCTTGTTGTTCTATTTCAATCATAGGTACAAGTTTAAGTAGATTTTCAAAAACACTTAATTTTTCATTATTTATTAGTGATAAATTTACAGATAGAAGCCATTTACTGCCTAAAATATTAAAATTAAAAATTGAAACAAATATCAAAAGGGTATAAATAATCTTACTTTTTTTAATGCTATCTACTTCATCATTTACCCTTTTAATTACATCTTCAACATCATCTTTCCATAATTCTACTCCTTCTTCAGAATCATTTTGGCGATTCTTTTAAAACAAATAAAAGTGAATAGTAAAAATATCTTTATTAAAAGAATTTTTTTAGTAAATTTTCATTTAATTCTTACCAACAACAACTCATAGATATACTGTAAATCTTTTGCTTTTACAGAACATTCTAATTGAAGTGCTGAGTTGGTGATACATTGTTTTACAACATTGAAATTTTGAGATTTTAGAGCATCATTTAAATTTTGTAAGATACAAATTACTGAAAAAAAATTAAGAATTTAAGAATACACAATGTCAATTAACATAGTAACTTTTAAATAAAATTACTTTCTTTGTTTTGTTCTAATTGATTATGAACTATATCAACACAGTCTTTAATATTCATAAAAGTCAAAATTCCAAAACTTCCTTTACTTCTAATTTTGAATTGTCTACAAGCATCAAGAGCACTCCAATACTGTAACTTTAAGCCTGCATCCAGTTCTTGATCCTGTTAATAAATTGTATTTATACGCTAATATTAATACATATTTTGTTACAGTTTCATTACTGGAAAAAACTTTTTCAGCTTAGAAAGACGATCCCAAGTCATATCAATATTTTCAGAGAGTACTGCTTTTGTAACATCAGCTATAGGATTTAACACTTGTAAACTTTGAATGATATCATTATAGCTTAAGTCTTGCTGTAATAAAAATATTATTAAATGTAACAAACTTTTTAAAGCAAGAAATGTGATAGTAAATATGTACATTAACATCATTTCGGTCATCTTTAAGTTCTTCAAAGTACAAAGGTATAGCAAATTCCTTGATAAGATGATTTATATTTAGTATAGGTTCTCTAAGAAGAGTAGCAAAACCATTCATATCATCAATAACTAAAGTGTTATTTAATTTTTTTATGAAACTTTCTTCTAAAATAAAGTATAAATTATTGTAATAGTGCTAATTAGCTTGCGATTACTATAACAGTAAACTAACGTTTTTTGTTCATTAAAGCTAGTTGGTTTCCACCATGTACAATACGCTGCAAAAAACACTTTTTGTCAATAGAGTTTAAATTTGATGAGTTGATAGCATTGGAATGATTTCTGAACTCTAATTCATAATATTTGGAATTTTTTTCATTAAAATCCTATAACAGTAATAATAATTTAATAAGTAATTATATTTTATTAAAATATGCAACTTGCCATCAACATAATATATTTTGATTTTAAAACATTTACAATATCATTATCACTTTCTGCTTTAAATATTTCATTCCATTTCTGATCAACTGAAAAATAAATATTTATTTATAAATTAATAAAATACCTCTTTCCCTGTAGATAGAGGATAAGAATACTTCCACAGCCCCTCTGCCTGTCATAAGAGGCGACTAACAAGGTTGAGTCAGGTCGACAGCCGGCATATAATTTTTTCAAAAAGTACGAGGAGTCTTGAACAAAACTTAGGCAAATTGTCCCATCTCGAATGTACGCGGGGACAATAAGTGAGAGGAAATAGAGTAGTTAAAAACAGAGAAGGCATAAGGAATAAAGTGTTTGATACAACTTATGCGGAAGCTGTTTCACCAGTCATGTATATAAGTCTACCCAATGCTTGTAGTGTCAACGGTGTAGGGATATTACCACTTAACACTATGCTGGACTCGTGTATAAGAGAGAAGGATAGATACAAAGTAAGAATAGGTACTTGGAACGTTGGTACATTAACTGGTAGAAGTAGAGAATTAGTAGAAGTATTGAAGAGGAGAGAAGTTAACATTTGTTTTGGGAAGTATATTACATAAGCTTTAATTTAAGATATATATAAAAGTGTCAGTATTTCCGGAACACTTTCAAAAGTTAAGTTGTAAAAGTTAATTTTTTGTAAAAAAGTTATCATTTTTAATCCCTCCCTGTGGGCTGGTAAAGGGTTAAATTTATAAAAAATATATACCAAATGATAGGTAAAGACATCAAGCATCTATAAAAAAAAATTATATTGATTTGTTCATTTTTGAAAAAGTTATGGCAATTTTAAATTAAAAAAATTAGTAATTTTTAAATTTGTAATTTTTTTGGAGATTTCCCCCATTTACGGGGAACGAGGAAAATTTTTTCAATTTTTGAGGGTAATGTCTTCGACTAGATACGATTTGTGATCTTTAGACGTATCGTTGAAAGTAATCCGTTCGGTGAGAGCTGAGAAAAAGTGGTAACAGACACAAAAAAAAAAAAAACACATCATAGTAAACTTAATACCCTCTCAGCTTCGTATTGAAGCTAAAATACATTTTTGTCTTTGCAGTTACTCTTTTAGAAAATTCTTTCAATAGAGTATTAAAATATATATATATAAATTACCTAACATATAATATCTATTTTTATGTTTTATTAAAGTTTATATTGATTTAATAAATAAGTATTTAAATTCATCATTGCAAATTAAATGTGGTGGATAGATGTATGAAATTACTAGAAACATAGAAGGAGAGGTGTAAAGCTTTTGAAGAAATAGGTTTAAGAATGAATACGAATAAGATGAGTATATAGAGTAAGAGTTTGATAAAGGAGAACTCGAGGTAGGTGAACTGAAGAGATCAGTGACAATAATCACGGACGTGATTGGAGAGGTGGAAAGTTTTATGTATTTAGGATCAGTTGTGCAAAAGAGCGTTAGTATTGACACAGGATTAAATGGTTGAAGTGGATAGAAGCGTCTGGTGTCTTATGAAATAAAAAAATTCCAATGAGGCTAAAAGGTAAATTCTACAAGACTGTGGTGAGGCCAGTTATGATGTATGGTTCAGAATGTTTGGCAGTTAATAAGAAAGTAGAGCAGAGAATGAATGTAGCAGAGATGAGAATGCTTAGATGGATGAGTGGAGTGACTAGAGAAAATAGGATCAGAAATGAGCATATAAGAGGGAGTATAGATGTAACGTCAATTGTGGATAAGATGAGAGAAAATAAACTTAGATGGTTTGGTCATGTTATGAGAAGAGAAGAATCGGAAGCTGTAAGAACAGTTATAGAAATGAATGATGAAGGAAGAAGAGGTAGAAGAAGACCAAAAAAGAGATGAGTGATGCTATTGAATGCAATATGACAGCTGATATGAATGTAGATGATGTGGAAAATCGTGTCAAGTGGAAGTTTAAGATAAGGGTGACCGACCCCAAGTAGTTGGGATTAAGGTGAGGAAAAAGAAGAAGAATAAAATACACATTAGATTAAATTTATATGATATATACTCACTATTAACTGATGAAATATATCCTTGTATTTCATTCAATGTTAAAATATCATCATAAGTATCAGGCTCAAAACTTTCACTTAAAGACTGTAAAAAATGTTAGATATTACTTTATTGGTAAAAATAATGCTAAAATTTTTTTAAAAATAGTTTTTTTTCTTATACCAACCATATTTTTGAATTTTTTAAAACATTAAAAAAAAGTGTTAGCCCTAATAATTTATATGATTAATTATATAAGAATAAAAAATCAATGTTGATAGTTCAAATTTTTTTCTATTGTTTTAATGTACTCTTAACTACAGAACTGAATTCTAGTATTAGAGAGAACAGGAAAATCTGCACAGTTTGACACTATGAAAAAGAACTATGATAACTGCGTATCAAGCTATGACATGCTTATTACTGATTTATACAAACTACCTATTTTATTTTATTTATATAAAATATGATGAATAATAAATAAGTTATCATTTTTAATTTTATTAAATTTATTTATAGAATAGCAACACAACAAATGCACAAGCAATAACAACAAAAATATTTATTATACTTTAATATAAATAAAAATTGTATAAATACCTTATTCATTGTTGAATTTTCTTTTGTTTGTTTAGCATGTCGCAAAACTACTAAATAATTTTCTATATAATCTAAGTTAATAAACTGTAAATTTGCCATCTTATTGGTAAGGCATTTAGTGAAATTATTCATATCCTTCATTATCCAATATAATAATTTTAGTATTTTTTATGGTTGTAATTATACAGCACTTACTTTAGATACAATAGCATTATTTATTGAAATAACAATATCATGTAATGTAATTGGATTTCCTTTTACATCATCTAATAAAAGACCTGCAATTTTTTGGAATTTAGGAAGTTCTACGCCACTTTCAGCCAATTCTTTTCTTGTAGCAGTAATTGTTTCCGCTAAAATATTAATGCATCATAAGTAAATTACATTAAATTTCACAGGCCGATTCTTACTCCCTTTAACTAACACAATTATATTTTGGCAAACTGTAATTTATTTAAGCTAAGAAAAGAAAACAAGAAGAACTTTACAACAATTTAACTATACCAAGATAAATTTATTATGTATAAATAATGTTTTGAAATATAAAATTTTGAATCTAGACTACAGATTGAACTGATATGAAATACCTTTTTTGTATTGATAAAAATAAAATAAAGAAGCTTTATATCAAGATACTCAATACAGTGGATATTCCATTTAGTTGGAACAAGTATAGATGATATTTGACAGTGATTAAAATCACTATCATGAAAAATGCTTCAATGCAAATCTGTAGATATTGTTTAATTTTTAGAATAAGTTATTGAATTATTCCAAAAGCAATATCAACTTCTAATTCCTTAATTATATCTAAATTACTAGCTTTGTTATATAAATATAATACATGAATAAATACACATAAAAGAAATCAAATTTAGTGTTAAATTGATATTCAATACTTTGTATTGTAATTTTCACTAATAAATTATAAACAATTGTAAAGTAGTTGTATATTTCATTACCTTTAGGGTATATGCGTATTTACGGTGTGCAGTTGCCAAGTCGGTAAAACTTGTGTCTTACGCGCTTGGGGTCGCCCTGAAGTAATGCCTCACGGCAGTTCCAGGACGGCCCATAATAATGCCGGTCGTGTAAAAAAAAAAAAAGAGTATATGTCTATAAGATATTACACAAACATAAATGTTTCTATATGCAGGGAATCTAAGCCCACTTGTAGACATTTTTAAGGATAGTAAAGAAATATTTAAATTCTAAGTTATTTTACCAGAAAAATTGATTTTTCCATAAAGATCTTGAATTAAAGGAGCTTCACCACGTTTAAATAAATGAGTACTTAAAGCATGAAGACAATAAATAACTTTTGGCATGTTTTTCTTATCATACACATCAGTTGTTTCTGGGTGAAATATCTTAACAGAATATAATATTGTTACATAAAACATTTAATTTTACAGATTTTAAATTTTTACCTTGGGTAGATTAACAGCATTTAAAGATTTCAACCAATAATTAATATTATCAGTATGACGATACTGAAGGCCAGCTAACTTATATCTTCTTTCATCGCGATCATATATACAAGATATTGGTACTACTAATGGAGCAATAAAATTTCCCAACTTGGCTAGTAAAACACCATTTCTTAATCTATCTTCCAGTTCCATCACGGGAGGAAGAATCATTTTCAAACAAGATTCTAGCCATCTGAGTTTACATATTTTGATTTATTTTTTAAGAACAATAAATTTAATATTTAACAACAGAACCCTTAACCAAATGGATAGTTTTCTATTAATACTTACATTTTAGTTTCTTCTAAATGGCATAAATATTCATATGCTATATTATCCTGTCTGATTATGTCAACTTCAATAAGACCACTATCTAATATTTCTTGAGCATTGACACTAATAAAAAAATTAATTATTATATAAACTAATAAAGAGTTAAATGATTCATAAATAAAATTAGTGGTATTTTAATTATTCAAAATTGATTACAACATAATGATTTTTAACATAGTCATAAAACGTTGAAGTATCCATAACTAATATTACTTAAAATAAAAAAAACAAATTATAACAACTTTTATTATCTTTATTTTTTTTGAACAAATATTCTTTTTTTTAACTATAATTTTTTTTTTTTTCGAAAAGGCGTAAAAATGTTTACACAATTAAGACAGTCCATTTTATTATTATTTTAAGAAAACTAATTCTATCAATTTATATTAAAACCAAAATGTATTTTAATTAGTAAATAAGGTATATCAATATATATAAATAATATTTTACCTGTTTTTTACAAGTGTCATAGTTCTAATGTACTAAAAAATTGATTCACAAAATAAAATGTCCAGTCTTCTAACTATGATAAACTAGAAAAAATGTATTCTAGCGATCAGAGAAGTAATGTAGTCAATAACTACATCTTATAACAAACAATTATTATGCTTTCATTCATCACACACAAGGAAACTATTAATTTAAAGCTAAAACTTTAACATAAGGCAGACACACTCAGTATTTTAATTCAAATACTTTATTTATGATAACAAACTAATGTAACAACTCTTGAATAATAAAACAAATACAACAATTTTAACGGTTGAAAAATCAAAATATACGTTATCACTTAACAAAATTCTCAAATTCAACCGTATGATATTATCTTACCGCCAAAAAAGTAAAATAACGAATTTTAATTCTTTTATATCTGTGAAAATAAATTTTTATCAACTTCGTCTTTTTATTAAATTATATTTCATTATTATTAATTTAAGTAACAAAAAAATTTGAAAATTATATATTATTATTCTCGATTATGTTATAAAAAATTTAAAAATAATAACTATTATAATTTGATGTTAATGTTGGTCACACCATACTACCATGGAGCAAACAGTTTATGAATTATTGAGTGGGGATAAAAGCCGTTAATAATTTTAACTTAATATTGAATAGTTACATTTCATATTCTCGGACCCATTTTTGTGCATATCTTCAGCTTCTTTACATCATTAATACTGTGTCTTCACTGTGTTATTTTTAATATTTATGTATCAATTTTTGGCAGGCTGGTCGTTCAGATATTAATTATTTGATTTTCTATTTTTGTAAGCATCACATCTGGTTTTCCATAACTATTTTCGTTTTACATTGTGTATTTAGTATACTGTATTTCAGTAAAAGTCTTGTCTAAGACTAGTCAAGACGAAGAAACGACTTATTTTTCTTTTGCCAACTTATTGTTATTAACTGCCGAAAAATGGCAACAGGAATAAGACGTGACATTCATTTGGTGAGCATATTTAACAGCTATAATGAGTACCCTTACATCATCAAATTAATGTAGCATTGATTTTTATTATTTATGCATCGCGTTTTACTCATTTATTGATTTAAAGTTTTTTGTTTTTTTAACATAACTTTTTTAGAGGTTACTTAAAAAAATATCAATTATTATATACATAATATTTTTTTAAGATAAATTTATAAGATCATTTTGTTATATCAAAATGGGTATTTAATTTATCAATTTTTAAAATGTCGCATTTATATGATTCAATTACATAAGGTAAAATTTAATTATTTCAACTTTGTTTTGATTTGGTAAATGTCTATTTGGTAGAACAATAATTATATAATTGTTACATTCTCTTACATTAGAAGATTTCTAATGTATGAGGCTAGAGTTCCTTTTCTCTAAGGGTTTGCACGCAAGAGTCCCTATCCTAGAGAATACCATAAAAAAGTTAAAAATTTCCAAAATTACAATCATAGTTATATATACTCTTAATTTGAGTACTTTCCCTACATTAATCATTGGTAAAAAGTACACTTCCTGATAGCAACATAATAAACAAATTTTAAAATGCTATAACTTTTTAACTATCTTAGACCAACATTTTATTTTAACAAATTCATTATCAATTAAAAAAAAAAAAACAAGTTGAAAAAAATTGTGCCTAATTTGTTTTATTTACATAATAGTGTTATTAATTTAATATCTTTTAAATTTATTTAATTTTTTAATTATTACATTAGATATAGATGTTAAACTTATTTATTAGGTTTAATATCTCTAATGATTTACTTATGGGCAAAAATGTTTTCAATGAAAACATGTTATCATGTATAATTATAAATAGTAATTATACATGATAACAAATTCAATTTATTTGTAGTCAAGAGCCATCATAATAATATACTATGATGACTTCAAGTAAGGAATTAATATGCTACAAGTCGTAATCATATATATCTTGTAGTATACAAGACATGTATCAATGTTATTTGAATTTGGTTTTTAAAAGTTACTTATTATTATTAAACGTCAATTTAATCTAATGTTAATTATAGTGAAACAGTGAAGTACTCATGTTTGTTTAACTCTACTTAGTTAAATTACTCAATAATACTAGATATACTTTTTTAGCTTCAAAGCAAAGCTGAGAAGGTATTAATTTTTATTGTATGTTGCCAATTTTTCTCAATTCACACTAAACCTATTTCTTTCAACAAAAGAAAAATTTTATCTAGTCAAAGACATTACCCTTCAAAATCAGAAAAAAATTTCCCTCGTTCCCTATAAATGGGAAAAATCTGCTAATAATTAAATTTAAATATTGGTAATTTTTGTAATTAAAAAAAAAAAATTCCTTAAAACTAATAACTTTTTGAAAAATGTATTAAAACCTTAGATATTTAACTGCCCAAGAGAAGAGTTTCAAGTTGGGAAAAGTATAGATGATATCTGACAGTGATTAAAATCACTATCATAAGTAACGATTCGATGCAAATCTGTAGATAATGGTTAATTTTAAGAGAACGTTATGTAGCCAATTTTAGAAAAAGATAACATAAAAACATGTCTTCTTAAAATGCATTTTACACATTAAGTAATGCACTTAGAGCAATAACACCCATTATAAAAACGAAAGAGAACAATATTTTATAGATGATCTCATATTCGTTTTTGGATATATTGTGTTAGTAAAGTGTTATAATTGATTGAAATTTAATAAAAAATAAAAAGTACATTTTCAAATTCAAGCGTAATATTAAGTAAATCCCAAAATGGTTATAAGATAGTCTTCAAATTATTGTCTTCTTTCAATTTTGTAATAGGTGTTAAAGATCTAAATGTACTACATAGTAAGTCAAATACATTGTGTTAAGATATGTTTTAGACCACTTTTGTAGGTTTTTTTTGTCGACTAGTGATTATATTTCAGAAATATTAACTGATGATGATGCGGCATGCATTGTGGTTCGATATGTCAACAAAAACGTTATCAATATTTCTTTAAATAATTTTGTTAACATGTGCGGACCAATTTTATTATGCCGGCACTCAATGTTTGAATTAAATTCCCTCGTTCCCTGTAAATGGCGGAAATACAAAAAAAGTAAAATATTTATTGAATCAAAAGTTATTAAAAATATCAGAATTAATTGAAATATCTTTCATACATGAAATAAAAAAAAATTTAACCTTTTTATTTTTTTAACTTTTGTCTTCATTTAGTTACTGTCAGTAGGTATAACGATAATTCTATAATTGTAACAATTATAGAAATCTTGCTGAACATGAAACAAATATTCTAGGTTTTAAATAAAAACAATAAATCTTATTATGATAAACATTTTTAAACTAATTTGTTTAATTTATTCAAACCTAAACAATCTTTAAATAAATATATCAATTAAATATAAAGCATATAAAACTAGATAAGCCTAAGGCAAAATTAAAAAAAAAAAAATTATCAATGGTTTTTTTGCCAATTTTATATAACTATTAAAAGTATTTTTTTTTTTTTTTTTTTTTTTTAGAAATTTTTTATNTTTTTTTTTTTTTTTTTTTTTTAGTAGATTATTACAAATAATTTTTAACAAATACCACTAAATGGCATCACATTTAATTTCTAGACATGTCAAATGTGCTTTTTCATCCTTCATAAGAACTAACAGTAATTCAAACTACTTTTTCTTCTTGTTCTCTTTCTGTGGCAACTAGAATTATTTTTTGATTAAAGAGCCCATTTGCTTAAAATAGGAAAATAATTATAGATCCTAATATTAACTAACATGTATAAATTAATTACATAAAAAATATGAATTATGTCAAAAATACTATATTACTTTAATAAAAAAATGTTTTAGAGACAAGAAAATATATTATCTGAAAATTCTTCTCGGGGAACCAAAGATTTAAAAAGTAGTGGCATTATAGCTCCTCGAAGACCAGTATTAAATGACATCAGTAGTAATCTACAGCCTTCTCAAAATCCTATTCAAAGAACTAAAATTGCAATAGCTAAACCAGTCACAAGACTTACAACCAAGTGTGTGCCTCTTTTTAAGTTAATTTTCATTTCAAACTATTTCATTGTCTATTAATATGATTTTTTTCAGTTTAAATCGTACCACAACCACTGTAAATGCAAAAAATTGTACAAAAACGGTCATCAAAGTTAATTCTACTCTTAAAGAAAATGTCTCGAGTATTCCAAAAGCAATTAGTAGGCCTAGACCATCTAGTATGGTTCGACCCCTTAAAGGGACATTAACAAGAAGTTCATCACTTCGAAGCAAATCAGTGAGTGTAATACTTAAGTATTATCCATGTATATTTACTTATATATATATATTTTTTTTTTTTTTTCAATTAAGATTGTTCTGACTGAGGCACAAAAAAAAGAACAAGAATGGTTAGCAGCTTGCAAAGTCGATGCAGTTGATAAAAATGATGAATATGATCCTTTCCTTGTTGGAGCTTATTCTAAATCAATTTTTGAGTACATGTTGACTTTAGAAGTAAATTATTTATTTTAATTTATATCCTAAATATATTTACTAAGATATTGTTATTGTTACATAGGCACAATATATGATTAAACCAGATTATTTGGCCAATCATAAATATATCACACCTTCTAATCGCAGTGTTGTAGTAGATTGGCTTGTTGAAGTTCAGCAAGAGTTTCAAATTATGCAGGAATCCCTGTACACAGCAGTAGGAATATTAGATCGCTACTTACAGGTATTCATTTTTTTTTTTTTTTTTTCTAAATGGCTGTCCAATTTAAAAAATGAATAAGATAGAAATAAAAACTATATTCATTAAAATCTATAATTTTTTATTTATTGATGTCTTATTATAAATACAAAATTATTATAGTATACAAATTATGCAAATTTCTTACGTAATAATAGCCTGTTGTGTCTTATAAGTGTTAGTAATTTATATATTCATTTTATTTTTTTATTTATTTAATACAGGAAAATGAAAATGTTGCACGAAATAAATTACAACTGATTGGAGCTACGAGTCTACTACTCGGGTGTAAATATGAGGAAATTTATGTACCAGAAATCAATGACTTTGTTTATTTATCTGACAATGCATTTACTAAGGATGAAGTGAAATCCAGTTTAGTTGATGTTTTTCGATCTATAAACTATTCTTTATCTAGGCCATTTTCTTTAACTTTTTTAAGAAGATTTAGCAAAGTATCAGGTGTATGTACCTTATATTTTACACAAATGAAAATGAAAAAAATTCTATCTATTTTATTATTGACTTATTATATTATATTATATTATTTATAGGCTCGATCATCGCAACATTCCTTGGCCAAATACTTTTTGGAATTATCATTAGTTGACTACAACCTTGTTCATGTTAAGCCATCTGAAATGGCAGTATCAGGCTTGTTACTAGCAATTGTTATTACTAATGATCCTCAACTTGAAGATGAACCTGAAAATGTTCATTCTCTTTTGTCACTATATTGGACTGAAATATTGAAAAAACATTCAACATATAAAATTAATGACATAATATCTACTGTTCAATCTTTGGCTAAATTAGCTCTCAATGCGCCTGAATGGAAGTATAAAGTATGAATAATTGTTAAATTAATCGTAATTTAATAGTACCTGTCATGAAATTTTATGTCAGTCAACTAATTAATTAACTAACTATGTTTCATATAATTTTTATGAACTAATAAGATATTAAAAATATACATGTGCGATTTATCAAGTATACTATATACAAATTTATATTATTGCATACAATATGGATTAAATAAAAGTTGTCAAATTGACAAGAAATTTTAAATTTTTGAATAGTGAAAAGTTTAGACTAGGTGAAAGTATAGCAGTGTTTTGTTGGTTTTTTCATATAGTATAGTTAAATACTAGTATAATGTATAATCATTTTGTTTATATCTAAAAATTATATTAACTCAAATAATTGTAATATTTCATATTAATATAAGTTAATCTTCAAAATCATACTTAAAAATAATTTCTTTTTACATTAAACTTTGTGTTTACTATGAAATTAAATACCAATTTATTTTTATGAAAAATCATTTACCAAATAGGGTTTAGAATATTTAATAAATCACACTGTATATCTTTATATGTATAAAAATTTTCAAAAAAAAAGTTTGGATATATTAGTAAGTTATTAACTAATTTTACAGGCTGTTTATAAAAAATATCAAAGTGCAAAAATGGGAAGAATAACAACTAGTTCCTTATTATGTTCACCTGCTATGAGATTTATTGCTCAATCAAGTTAACTAATTTTCCACAATTGTTTTCAACTAATTAACTTTTATTTATTTTTTTTATCATTTTGTTTTTATTGAGGGTGGTTGTGCCACTTTTAACTAGATATTTTTTTCTAAATACTAAAACATTTTTATTTAATTGGAAAATTTTAGGCATTAACTATGCTTGTACATATTAATGTTTTTTGAATAATTTTTACTATACAATACACTTCAAAGTTATAACTGAAAAATGAATAAAAAAAAAATTGTTTAGGTTTGTTATGTATTGTAAGTTTTTTGATATATAACCATTGTAAACATATTTATAAGTAACAATTATTTGGAAAAATCTAAATGAAGATAGATAATTTTTGAAACATTTATTAAATTCAATATCAAATTTTGAAGTGATTTATATTGTTATATTTCCGTATTGTAAATAACTGCTTCTATGTGGTATTAAACAAATTTTATTTAAATTTAAGAATGTTTTAAATTGTACTCCTATATATATATAACTTACTAAAATAAATTTTAATTATACATACTTAGACAATTTTACAAAAGTAAATGTGTGTAAAAATAAAAAAAATGTCTTACAGTACTTCCTCCTTTGTATTATTAAAGTGTTTTAACCTTGCACTTCTATCTGACTCCCTCGTATTTTTATGTATGTGACTAAGTAACCTAGTTTTAGTAACTTAATTATACTTGATTGCATTATGAATAAAGCTATTTTAAATTTTAATAATGAGTATTATTTTTTCATATATCTGTGTGTAATCATAAATTCTGAAAGTTTAAAGAAAATAAACAAAAAAAATTTTTGTGAACTTCATAATATTTATGACACTTGACAACTCTTGGGAATTGATGTACTTTATATGTTTCACGCGCTCTCCTGGATTTTATTGTAAAATTAACTCTATATCGTTATTTAGTAATTTTAAATCTACTTAAACGTTGAAAAACCAGTCAATTTTAGCTTTGATGCGAAGCTGAGAAGGTATTAATTTTACTGTTTTTTTTTTTTTTTTTTTTTTTTTTTTACAC